TCACATATAAACATCTCACTCATCTTCACCGACTTTCTGATTGAAATCCTCCAAACATGGTAGTCTTGTGGATATTTGTGGCTCTTGGTTACTTGTTGCTGTATGCGTTTGCTGTGATGCAAACGCAGGAATGGTGTGTTATCATCAACCGCATTGCCAATTGAGCTTTTTGCCATGATGTAATTGGCAGGTTGGGAGACAAATGGGCTGTGCTGTCTCGGTGCAATTGTTGCCTTGTGATCAAACAATTCGTTTCATGCTCGGCTGCGGATTGGTATTGTGCGGTTGAGGCTTGAATACCCAATCATGATTTATGATGCACGACGATTTTACGACTTGCCCTTTTGATGAAATGAGAGGTTTGATGGCTGGGTATATTAGGACCTAGGGGGGGCCTGGACAAAGAACCGATCCATGTACAGGGTAAACCCTTATATGGGGGTTCCATACATGATATTCAGCATATAAGACTGTGAAAGGGCTACAACTAGAGTCTTTGATGATTATTGATGATGACGACTGCATGACTATGAGGGAAGGCGTTTCATACGATGAGAGACCGGACTACAATCCTGTACATTGTTTAAAAGACTTGAGATTCACATTTTTTTATTACATTTTGCGCTCGATCAAGCCTCTTCTCATGAAAAGACCCCTCAAATTGAAACCCATTCCATATCCATGTCCATCCATATCGAGGTGTTCGATGACAGGAATAAAGAGGGGTCTAGTTTGCCCATGTTCCTGCAGCTTGTGTTTGTGCTGCATACTGGAGATAATGTGATAGATATCCACATTGGATTTGGACGTGTGAAGAGGGGCAACCCCGTCTTGTTCGCTTGAGATGATTCTTCCACATGGTAGAGCCGCATGAAATGCGTGTCACATTAAATTATTCCCGCCATATCATCTTGATCAACCTTTTTGAAAATTTGGGAAATTCACGGCAGAAAAGGGTGCTATGACATATGTTTTCTTCAGAACCAGATTTTGATCAACTCCTCACTGACAGCACTGGGAGTTAAGACACCGCTGTCTGTGATCAGTGCAGAGATCAGGTGAGGGGGAGTAAAATCAACCGAGTCGCAGAGGGGTAGCTTGATTTGGGTGTCGCCATTTGTGTCAGCGACGGAGGACTGCTGCTTGCGCTCCTCTGCAAGGTCTTCCTCGGACTTGAACTCAAGAACTTGCTGCTCAATTGGCAGGTCGTACTGACCAAGAGGGTACAAGCGAACGAACTTGTGACTCTCTGCTACCACGTAGAATGGCTTGCCAATAGCCTTGGCAAGGAGACCAATCTGGTAGGTTCCCATGCGAGACACAATACCTCCATTCTCCACCACACCCTCCGCACCCACAATAACCATATCAGCCTTGCCGAGGGAATATGCCACTGAGGATTCGGGAATTGTTGAAACTGGTACACCCTTTGCTCTCAGAGCACGGACTGTTTCCATACCCTCGGGTTCTTCATTCGGGTGCTTGCAATCCTGGGAAGTCGAAGATAGAACATAGATAACACGGAACCGCACAGCCGAAGGGCCACCTTCCTCATCTGCGGCTTTTTGCAATAGTGCTGCGACAGCTCGGGAGCCACCGTTTGTGAGGATGGTGCTGCCATCGCGAATGAAGCCACGGCCGAATGCTGCGATTTTGTCTCGGCTTTCCTTGGCTCGTCGGATAAATAGCCGTCCGTTTGATAAGAGGTGTGTGCGAATAGCCTTGAAATCGCCTGCGGGGCCCAGTTGTCCAGGGCGTTGTAGTGTGGTAATTAGGTATCGTTGGAAAAGATCGGTTCCGGCAGAGAGACCGATAGGATTGGGAATGGATCGTTTCAGGTGCGCGGTGGATTTTTCGAGTAGATCCAAGGTCTCTGATATCGTCGAAGAGGCTGACTGTGTGAGAAGAAGGACGAGAGCTTCAATGGCCGCAATAGGCATCGTCAGGTCGGGATCGGAGCGGAGGAGTTCATTGTAGGTTGCGACAATGCTGAAGGAACAGTGAGCAGATGCGTAGGGTCCGAGGGAGCGCGATTTACTTACTCGAAGGGTTTGGTATCGGCTACAGCCGCACTTGGGGTGGTAGAAGCCATCCTGTTTGAGTGTCGAAGATACGAAAGTGAGAACAAAGCAATATAGAAGGAAGAGAAAGAGTCATGAATTCTATGTTTGTCTAGTTTGCATAATGCCCCTCCAGGCACTAACCCCGATCGGGCGGTGTGCGGGATTGTCTCCAAGTAAACAATCAACTCCGATCAACAACAATTAGCCTATCCACTTTGTTAATAAGCCCCTTGCCTGGTGACAGGTCCCAATACTATCATGTCGCGCAACTCTGTCGCGATGGGGTATAACAGCCGTATGAGCCAGCAATTTCAAGGAAACCAGCACCAAGGTCGAGGTCGCAAGAAGGAGGACGAAAATGACGCCCTCATGCGTCTGGTGAGCTTGATTTCTGCCCGAGGTTGCGTCTGATACTAATATAAAATAGCCTGACAAAGAGATCGCAGGATGCATCAACGATATCGGTATACCGTTTACCCTCGCCGACTTGGCTAAACCCAACGCCCAGCAAATCCAGACGGTGTTTGAATGGTTCGCAGAACTGCTCATGAACACGACCCGGGAGACAGTAGAGCCCGCGATGCATGCAGCTGCAGAAGATCTATGCGGCGACTACCCTGATATAGTTCCCAACGACACCCGCAACCTCATGGGTTTCTTCATGATGCTCCGAAAGCTATTGGCGGAGGTATTTGCTCATCAATGCCTAGAAAGACCCCTGAATAGTAGGCTAATGCTTTTGGTACCAAATAGTGCGGTGTCAACGACTTCACTTTCACAGATCTGACCAAACCGACGCATGAGCGACTCGTTAAAATCTTCTCATACTTGATCAACTTTGTTCGATTCCGGGAATCGCAAACACCTGTCATCGACGAGCACTTCAATAAGACGGAGAAAACGAAATCGCGCATTGACGAGCTTCTTGCGGAAAATCAGGAAATGGAATTAAGGCTGAGGGAGATGCGACAGGATCTCCAATCCAACGAAGCGCATGTGAGGGAGAAGGTTTCCCGAAACGATGCGCTCAAGGCGCGGCTATTGGAACTGGGCCGAGAGCAATCGCGAGTCGCAGAAACACTGGATCGAGTTAAGACGGAAAGAGCTCGGCGGCAGCAGCAGTTGGAAGAGAAGACCGAGCGAACCGTCCGTTCTCGACAAGAAGCGGAGAAACTGCGGCCTTATGTGCTCGAGTCTCCGGCTACCCTCCAGTCATCACTGGCTGAACTATCCGAGAATCTGATGCGTGAAAAAGCCTCCATTGATGCAATGGAGAGGCGGGCACGCGCATTGCAGACCTCGTCCGATACGTTTACCGTGGTTTCCAACGATGTGCAGGGATGTGTTAAATTGCTCGATGATATTTCAGCTGAAATGCAAAAAGAGGACGAAGAGGAGTCTCGTGCTGCCAGAACTGCAGAGGCTATCTCGGACAGGGGGAACAGCGTCCGCGAGGTCGAACAGACTGAGAAGCTCCTGCAGCGTCAACTGGCCCGTTGGCTCGAGCGTATCGAGGCACTTCAGAGAAATGCACAGGAGAAAGCCGAACTTGCGCAAGCACGCATGGAGGAACTTCGAAATGTTCAAAAACAACTCCGCGAGGAACGTGCGGAGAAGCAACGCGATATGGAGCGGAGGCGTATTCGTATTGAACAGACAGAGAAGAAGGTATGTTTTACCCTGTGTTGTAGGTATGAGCCATCGCTAACGCACTCTTCTAGATGGTCGACTTGAAGGAGAACATCGAGACCGAGATCCAGTCAGCCCACGACCAGTACCTAAAGCTAGAGTCACATATCAAGCTGTACATGACAGAGATGGAGAAGTCTCTATGATCAATCAGTTGTCATTTATGTGCGAAACAGGAGTTCAGCGGTCAGCTATAGGATACCCGGATAGTATAGATCCATTCTCAGGAGTTTTATTATGTTACAATATCATGCCTGATCCCCATTTCAATGGTGGTGGTCAAATTCAAACTCGAACCAGCGTTCGGCAACCCGTTTCACGGTGACGCCTCGTCCACCCCAGGTACTTTGGTCCGATCGCATTAGAACTGACCCGTTCAGTAAAGGAACGTTCGCATCCCATAGCTTGCTTCCCTTAACGGCACTTGAAGGGTCCAGGGCATCCATACACTCGTAAAGTTTGAGATCCATCCCCGCTCTGGCAGAAGCCTCAACGGCAGAGGCAAGTGTTCTCGAGAGTCCCTGTGCCGAGAACTCCGAGGTCGTAACATGCAAAGCTATCATATCAAGGACCACAAGGAGTTGTCGGTCGTTGGAAAGCGACCCGTCATCAAAAGTCACATCAACAGCATGACCTAAAACAGCAAGGTATGCCCGAAGACTCTCTAAACTCGGACAGAAAGCCAGCCGTATTTTGCTAGATCTTGCAAGCAACCCGATGGTTTTTGTAAGCAGGCCATGGCCCGCAACAGTGTCTGGGTCAGCGCGCTGTGAGCGAATGGCTGCTGTAAGTTGCAACATGAACTCGGCTCTGGTTGCACAGACAATGAGATGGGTATCTGAGTTGCCGTCAAGGAGTTGCTGTAGGAGATCAGACACCAAATCGCAGTGGCCGATCGTGAATGTTGGATTCATTGCTTCGGATCGCTGTGTTGTAGCTCCCACTTTATTGCCCCTCCGAGATAATCAACGAGAAGTCAATAATTTCATCTTTAACCCATTATCCGTTAACCACAAAAACCCATGGTGGTCGTGGATCTTTCATCAGGTGGTATGTAAATAGTCGAACGTTGCAGATGTTGCAGATCGAAGGCGGGCGAAGAGTTGCGGCATCATCCACCTCACTTCCGCGGAGCTGCTCCGCCTTTCCTCCCCTCACCTCTCACCCCATTTCCTCAGACTCACCCAAAGCCCTTGGACTGGGCGCTCAGAGACTGGAAAGATGGAAACAATTTCCAGGATATCCTCGATGCTGGAAACAGGTATGTCGGGTTGGGTTGCAATCCGCTCTATTTGGCCCGAACTGACCGTGGAACATCACTGTGCGCATAGCTCGAGAGCTCACATTAGAGGCTGCCCAGTCCGCTGCTATCAATCGGACCTCAAGCACCGACTATACCTCGCGAACATACAGCCCCGCGCACATCAAGAAGCTCCTTGATAGTCGTCATGAGCGGGAAGTCCTGGATGGAATGCGGAAGGTCATCTCGGTACGAGGACCGTGAACAGGAACTATTGGAAACCCAATGGCTAACTTAATTTGCTGTTATAGTTGATGTACCGGTCCGAGCCCTCCCTTACTTTCTTTTCAGCAGTTGTTAAGAATGTGGCCAGCGCCAACCTCGAAGTCAAGAAATTGGTTTACATCTACTTGGTCCATCATGCGGAGGCGGAGCCGGATCTGGCACTACTGTCCATCAACGCGATCCAGAAATCGCTGACCGATTCAAGCCCACAAGTTCGAACAATGGCGCTTCGGACTATGTCGGGAATCCGGGTTCCGGTAATCAGCCAGATTGTGTCGCTGGCTATCAAGAGAGGATGTGGAGATATGAGTCCGCACGTGCGCAAAGCGGCTGCTTTAGCTATTCCAAAATGTTATCGTCTGGACCCGAACACGCTGCCACAACTGATGGGATATCTTGAGATACTTTTGGGTGATTCCCAATACTTCGTGGTCGGCCCCGCAGTCTCGGCATTCTTGGATCTGTGTCCGGATGAGATTGACTTAATCCACAAGCACTATCGCAGCTTAGTCAAGAAGCTGGTTGATATGGATGAATGGGGCCAGCTAGCAACGCTGCGCCTGTTGACGTTTTATGCGCGAAGGTGTTTCCCTCGACGAACTCAGAAGGTCAAGCGTACAGCCCCAGAGGCATTCTACGATGATGAAAAGCAGCAACAGGATAACCAGAATGATTTCGAAGATTACGAAGTTCCGGTAATGGATCCTGATCTTGAGCTTCTACTCCGAGCCTGCAAGGTTCTACTGCAGAGCCGAAACTCCGCCGTTATTGTTAGCATCGTCCGTTGCTTCCTTTACCTTGCTCCATTAGAATATATTGCGACAGCAGTTGGTCCCCCTTGTGGCTCTTTTACGAACCCCGGAGGACATGCAACTCATCGCCCTGTACAACATTGTTGCCGTTGCTCTGAGGGTTCCTAAGCCTTTCGCAAAATACACGGCCCATTTCCTTGTCCACGCCAACGACCCACCGCATATATGGCGTCTCAAACTGGAGGTGCTAACCATCCTGTTCCCGCATTGTGGAAAGCACTGGAAGGGGGTTATAATCAGCGAATTGGAGCACTTCTCGAAAGGCACAGATCCTGAGCTGGTACGAGAGAGTGTACGAGCCATTGGGCGTTGCGCGCAAGCGGACACAAGTACCGCAGGCATGTGCCTACGGATCCTTCTCGGCCAAATATCTAGTCCAGACGGTAACCTTGTGTCAGAGTCACTAACTGTCATCCGTCACTTGATCCAGCAAGATCCAGCCTCACATAAAAAGACTGTTCTCCAGCTTGTCAAGCACCTCGGCTCAACAACCCACCCAGACGCACGAGCCACCATTATCTGGCTGGTTGGCGAGTTCGCTGGAATTGATACAGAGAACAATATCGCGCCTGATGTCCTCCGCATATTGATGAAAGGATTCGCAGATGAAATGGAAATTGTCAAACAGCAAATTGTTCTCCTTGGTGCTAAGGTGTATTTACACCATCTCTTGCAGAATCCACCAAAGGAACAGCCGGAACGAATTGCGCCGCAGCCATTCCCTGAAGCTCCCGCCAAATCCCAGCAAGAGTTCCACAACGAATGGTCTGACAATGGGAACGATGAATCACAAGGTGCCGAGCGAACTGAAGAGGGAGAGGAGAACCGTCAAGAAAATGACAGTGCGGAAACGAAAGAAACAGAAGAAGCAACCGAAGACCGTATTACGCTATTATGGAGGTATCTCCTCCTTCTCGCACGCTATGACACCTCCTATGACCTGCGTGACCGGGCTCGTCTCTACAAGAGCCTCTTGGAAACACCCTCTTCCACCCAACTTGCCAACCTTCTCCTCCTGGCACCTAAACCAGTGCCCCATGCCCCCAGCCCATCGGAGACGCGCAAGGACCTGCTCATCGGTTCCGCCACTCTGGTCGTCGGCCACGACGCTGGTTACCACGGACTTCGAGGCTACACGAATCTCCCAGACTGGGTTGAGCCAGGCCAGGAACCCGACCCCAGCCTCCGCACCGAAGATGTGAAACCAGACACATCTAGCAACGCCACCTCCATGACTGCAGGTGACCGTCTTGATAAAGCACTTCGTGAACACAAAACCACTTCTATTCCAAGTCGGGGCCGAAGCGGCCCAGCTATGCCTTTAGATCCAGCTGGGAAGAAGACTCTTGATCAGTGGCTACAAGAGGAGGAGGAAACCGGGACAGAGTCTGAAACGGAATCCGAGGAGGACGAAACTGATTCAGAGGAAGAGGAGACGGACTCGGAAGAAGAGTCTGGCTCAGAGGAGGAAGATGATGAGTCTGAAGAAGAGACTGATTCTGAAACAGAAGCCGTTCATAACGAAGCACAGCAGTTGCTTCGCTAACTTGTTCGAATGATGGCCACATGTATAGATGCTGGCTTGTTCGGACAACCTTTTGGGTGCGCTGAAAATAAGGAAAATATTGAATTTGAGATATATTTTTAGAGTAATTTTAGTTCATGGCATAGTCACTTATAGGGTTGTTGGACAGGGCATGGCCTCATGGTGCCACATAAGGACCTCACGGATCCACAGTTTCTATAAGAACTTAGACTGTCGTCTTCTCTTCCTTCTTACTATCTGCCTACGCAGACATGCTCACTGCCCATATGTCTAGGCAAAGGATCCTCTGTCAACCACGCGCGGAGAATCATCACAATGTCAAGCAGCGGCTAACTAGTGGACTTTATTACCGAAGGAGCAAATCGCTTCATGCTGTCCCTCGCCTCTGTTACTTTTAACTAGCAATACCAGCCACCTCCAAGGCGGGTGGGCAGTTAACAAAGAATCCAATGAATTTAGCGCAGAACCGGCTGAGATTGAAACAGCCAAGGCGGAACGTGGGTTCTATACAAAGGTCCGGTCTCCCCGGACTCCCCGGCTGCGAGTTAAAAGCTGAGATATGTTCTATCATTACATTTTCCTGCAGTGCTACCATGCCCACCTGAGAGATATGGTTGCCTAGTCAGATATGGGTTGTTTTCATACAACATTCCCCAAAGAAAATCGGCGAGGAATATACTGCAAATATGGACATCTCCCGAGTTATCAACCCCTGGAAGCTCAAACCTACAAGGACTTTGGTCTTTGTGAACGCCACTATTGTTGATCCAACCGAGGGAAAGCTGATCCAGAATGCTACAGTCCGAATTTCAGAAGGCAAGATCATTCAAATTGTCACAGCCAGCTCACCTACCGTCACAGGTGACCTTCCCGAAGAAAATGTGATCGACCTGAGTGGAAAATACCTGTGCCCAGGCCTGATCGATTGTCATGTCCACATTTCAGTAGTTCCCGGCGAAGCCAATCTACAAGCCTACAAAGACATGAGCGAGAGAGTCAGTCTCCTGCGGCAGCCATACCTGCTCAAGACCATGCTAGATCGCGGCTTCACCTCAATCCGGGACTGTGGCGGCGCAAGTCTAGCAATCAAAGAAGCCGTCGAGGACGGTGTGATCCCAGGCCCTCGTCTCTTCATCGCTGGACATGCACTCTCCCAAACCGGTGGACACGGCGACTTGCGCGGGTCCCACGATACACAGCTCTGCTGTGGTGGTTCTATCTCCGGAATCAGCCGGATTGTCGATAGTCCGGCGGAGTGCTACAAGTATGCGCGCGAGGAGCTGCGCCAGGGGGCGGACTTTATCAAGATCATGGGCGGTGGCGGTGTTGCCAGCCCCACAGACCGTATTGAACATGTGCAGTTCTCGGATGAGGAGATCAAGGCTATTGTCACTGTTGCACGGAACGCGGGGACATATGTCACGAGTCATTGCTACACACCGCAAGCGATTCAACAGGCTATCAAGCTTGGGGTGCGTTGTATCGAGCATGGAAATCTTATTGATCTTGAGACGGCGGAGATGATGGCTGAGATGGGCGTTTTCTTGACTCCGACGCTCATCACGCATGTCATGTCTAAGCAGATGAATTTCCTGTCTGCTAATGGTGCCGCTAAGAATGAGGAGGTTCTTGACAAGGGATTGAAGTCGATGAAGATGGCTGTCGATGCGGGTGTGATTGTCTGCTTTGGGACTGATCTTCTTGGTCCGATGCATTTTGCCCAGAGCAAGGAGTTCTCGGTACGCAGTTCGGTTTTGACACCATCACAGATTCTGCGCAGTGCTACCGTCAATGCTGCTCGTCTTGTTATGCAGGAAGATAGGTTGGGTCAGGTTCATAAAGGATTTGTGGCTGATCTTTTGATCTTAAAGGAAAACCCGCTAGAGGATATCACCATTCTAGATCGAGTGGAGGAGAACATTCTAGCTGTGATCAAGGATGGGAGGGTTGCCACTTCGCGGTGGGACAAAGTCCAAATAGATATTTGAGGGTTTTAGGAAGCGTAATGCCATTTTCGGTTCTATCAATCACATGTCCCCCCTAGAAAGCTGGGCTAATCCTAGTTGGGATCGGTGCGGGGCGCTTCCCGAGCTCCGCCCAAAGAGTGCAGGTCCCACAAGCTTACTTCCTAATCGGGACTAGCCCATCTTCTGGATCTAGTTTAGCTTTAGTATTGTTGGCCTGAGGCATCCAGGGAAAGTTGGTTGCTCAGGCACCACAGGGTTTGCATACCTTACAAACCCCCCCGGGAGCACATCGTATGTTTTGACCTCTTCCATGTTCGACTCTGTGATCTTTTATACTATTTTCCTCTCCCTGTCACCCGCGCCCCTCATCCGTACCGAAAATATCCTCTAGAGCCTAGAGACATGGCGTCTACTACAACGTTGAGCAGTTCTCAACCTTCGACTTCCGAGCCTCAGTTGAATGTGCAATACTATGCCCCTAGGTTTTGCTTGCCGCATCCTAATACTATCAGCCAATTTTGTCGGGACCAAAACAATATAATATTCTGCCATAGTATTACTATCGTAAAGATATCACCTAAAGTCGCCGTTAAGTTTAGTGCTTATATCAATATTACCGAGGCCAAAACCATGATTTATATTACGTAGAATATAGGGGTTCCTATACCTAAAGTTTTCGTATATTATACGTACGGTCTAATTGATCGTGATACTAACGATTACGGAGGCCTTTACGATATATATATCTTTATAAGTTTCGTTGCTAGTAAAACACTCTATATAGCTTAGGACACTTTCGGCGTCTTAACCAAATCCTATATCTTAAGATAACTTACGAGCTATATCTAAGAGATTCGTAATATAGGGTAACGCTAGTTATATTGGCTCTATAGATTATAGCCCTATTACTAACTATAGTTTATCGACCTCTATTGACAAAGGTATACCTAGACTATACGTAGGGACCTCTTCATTTAAACTAATTTTTTTCTAAAGGTCTATTCGAGTTAGAGTAAGACTTTAACACGGCTCTTATCAACGCCTATCTAAAGAAAGCGCTAAAACGCTATATCAAAACTTTTCTTAGTGGAATGCTTCCTCAATCCCACCGTATCGTATTCACATATAGTGATCTCCGGCCTCAGAATGTTATAGTGAAAGATGGAAATATGGTCGCTATTATAGACTAGGAGCTAAGTGGTTGGTACCCAGAATACTAGGAATTCGTAAAGGCTCTACTTACATAGGGCTGGCAAAGTGATTGGACGGATTACCTCATGTAAATTCTTCAACCGTATCACGCTGAACTTTTCATACACTCTTTTCTGATGGAAAAGCTATTGATTTAGTTGGGATCTGCTCATAGCCGGATTGCTAAAGTGTTGTGGACTTGGAATCCGCTGGCTCTCATAGCGTAAACAAAGCAAGCGCTATCACTCATGTACAGTAAGAATTAACTATATAACATATGAATGCTACAACTTTGATTTCGGCAAATGCTAAGATAGCGATAGTAACAATGGTCCGCATGCTAGAGGTTTCTCCTTTCCCTCAATTTAGTAACTCTATTAAGAGGCGAGCTAGTTAATTATTAGTGGCACATTTCATCTACTTCTGAGGCACTGGGCGAGTTGGCAGCTGATTGGAACTAACAAGAAAGAAGGTGCGCGTAAAAAATTCATATCAAATCTGCTATTTGCTGTTGTGCCAGACAACTTCAATCTGAATCTTGCCTCAAAGGCGCATCCTGAAAAGGCCAAAGCTTTTCCCACAAAGCCATCTCCTCGTCGTTTGCTGATTCTCGAAGTAAAAAGTTTTGCTTCGATGTTATGAGTCTCCTGAACATTTCGTCATATTGGTCAGGAGGCACGGCCCCATTCCAACCGGGATAAACGCCTAGCTCATCGATCACTCGGGCTTTTCTCTCAATGTCCTTTTGCCACTTTTCGTAATCCATCTGCTGGTTTGATATATCTTCCTTTGAGTAATGTAAAGGACATGGCACAATCGGATCGCCGGCTGTATTCACCCCAACAACCTGTTTCCAGACATCCTCTTGACTAATATCGGCCAGTAAACTTTGTATGTATGGTTCTCCGTCACCGTAGGTAGATGCAATTATTCCCAGAATTTGACCTGGCAACGTATCCTTGTAACGAAATGCATGTAACAGCTCGGGGACAGTTTTCTGAACCTGGATTTCATAGGAAAGCCAAAATAACTGAGCAGCATACGTAGCTTTAGCGGATTTTTTGGCATTGGGATCGAGTGAATCCAAGTCCTTAGGAAGCTCGGGTTTAACAAACCCATTTACCCTCGGTCCATCGTACTCTATTAGGGAAGGATGATGAGCAATCAGGAACATTGGATAGACAGGCACGCATTGCCAATCTATAATGCTTGTAATTTGAGACGGATTGTTGATGTCGACAAATATATTCTCCGTATGAAGATCGTTATGCCAGATGATACCGGCAGATATGTTCTTGTCTTGCGGTGCGATAGAACGGTATATCTTAAGGAAGTCTTGCAAGACCGACAGTTTTGCTTTGTGTGTTGGGTTGTAGCAACCGGGCCCACCGAAAATACCTTGCTGGCAGTCCCGGGGGAAGGTTGAAAACTTCTTCAGGCATGCTATTTCTCGATGAACAAGCGCCTCCATCATATCATCTGCGGAGGTCCCTAAAAGCAAAATGAATGATTAGAAAAAAGACTGCGCGAGGTAAACACAACACATACAAGGCCCCCGATAAACGTCAACTTCCCCTCTCCCATTGTCGAACCATGCCCGATTGACCGTGGGACCCACCACAAACTCATTGTCAATAGCTTTGCTCTCAAATAGCTCGATATCATCCCTTCGGTATAGAGCACCATAGTGCGGAAAGCGAAATTGAGCGAGGTTACACGTGATATGAGCAACTTGTTTCACAATAGCTAGTTTGTCGCTGGGCTTTAGATCATCCCACACTCGACCTAGTTCAATACCGCGGGCTTTCTCCATCACGATGTATTCCGCCCCAAGCTTACTTTCGCCGGCCCGGGAGCAATACGCAAGGACCTTTGGCACAGGAAGATGAAGCTTCTCTTGAATCTTCAATATAGGTCAGCGTGTCCTGTTTCCGAATATCCCTAAATAGATAAGATCTCTTACAAATTGCATGGTTGCTACCTCCGAGGCTGTGGTGTAGTGGGCTGGTCCCGCATTCCGATTTGGTATTTTGACAACCAGCTGCTTCCCATCTTGCATCGTTGCGAGGAAGACTTTGTTGAAGTTCCCCTCTGGTAGCCTTGATAAATTCAGACAGACTGCATCATTACCTGCGGCTTCTTTGACGATGTGGATAAGTGCATCCAAGTCGAATTGGATGTATCTGCGTCGTAATTGCTCTGATTCATTCCATAACCATCTCTGAGCAGAATAATTGTAGAAAGACTCCGGGTCAGAACCTATCATTTGGTGAGACGGAGATAATACAATAAACAAAGCAACCTACCAAAAAGCAAAGATTCAGCTCGTCCTCTGATAGGCGGCATGGTGAGCTTTCGATTGATGATGCGATGGACGGGTAGTTTCAAGGGGTTGGATCTAATCTGAAAGCTTCTAGAAGCTTGAAAAAACACTTTGGGACAATGCAGTGATCTCCGACGTTGGAGTGCGATTGTTAATGCAGTCATTCTCAATATTTCATGAGACTTACTGTCACCTAGCGTTGTGGTGTGGTGGAATTTGATGTAAAATGACAATGTAGCCGTGCCAAGCACCCAATACACCCTGTACCTACCCGTTATTGGTGCGCCCCAACAAATGTATCATTTGTATGACTTACCAATACAAAAGGTACTTAGGCACCCTATAAGAATAACATACTTTTTCTCGGCCCGAGGATCCTGCGCTGCGGTGAAAGTTAATATATATCAGTCGGTTGATTGGTTGCTTGACCTGAACCCTCGCAAAAAGTTGGATTCTAGGTTACGTGTTGTATAGTTATAAACTCAGTAACTAGTTATAGCGGTGTGAGCTGTCAACTATAACTAGACAGACCCGCAGTACCCATAGATCAGTTCCACATAGTTATTTACAACCTTGCTAGAAACCCTCAATCACGTCGTAGGAAGGATGATTGAGAAGAATGGCTAGCTCCCTTTTTTTGAACATCGTGCTCTCTCATATTCTGATGATATCTTGTCATGGGTGTGTACGCTAGCGGTTAGAATGCGTTTAATACTAATAGTATTCTGCTGCAAGTGCTGGAAATTTTGGCCCCACGCATTCATAGCCAATTCACAAAACGACATCGAAGAACCCAATTGTTTCTACTTTGGTTCCCAATTGAGAAACAGTGTCATATACAGCATAGATGCAGATTAATCAGGTCATGGGACCGGAGCTTCGTGCTCATCTAATTTAGTTCGCATAGATAGATCTCCACTTCCCTACGCATCTCCAGGTATTTTCCATGATCTGCAGTTTCAATCCGTAGAGATCTCCTTAGACAATTTTGACGTGCACCGCAGATTTCAACAATATGAAGTACATATAAATCACTGACCCGGGAGTGCTGTACGTAGATCTACATAGATTTCCTCACCTCAACCTTGCTTCCATTTTCCATGCTACTGCTATATACAGTGCTTTGCTGGATTCTACTTTGAGATTTTGCAAAGATTGGTTAACATGTGACTCAGTGGGCTAGTTACATCGTAGTGGGTTAAAAGTGAGTTGAAAGTTGGCTGACTATTCCGAATCCCCCTCCATCCCCCTCCATCCCCTGGTTTTGAGGAAATGGTATTTGTTCCAGCCATGTCAAGGTCAAAGTCCAAGGTTGAATACATGGATTCACATGGTGGTCATACCATACAAAAGTCATCGAGACCCGCACAGATGGTTGAAATAGCGGGTTTTTGTCATTTTAGTTAGGGTTCTTATGTACCTTACCATCCTGGTCCATACTAGTGGAGCGCACATAACGAGAAAGACATTTGGGGGCGCTACTCTTAACATGTAGAGTTATTACGTCTCCCTTCAGAGAACATCGGTTCCAATCAATCCTGTCCACTGCTAGTCTTCAGTAACATCGTGCCATCAGTAACATCGTGCCATCATGGGCCAAGTTTTCGGAATCCAAGAAAGTTCTTCCGCCGAATCCAGCCTTCTTTATCTTGTCTACCTTGCCTGGGTAGATGCCTGGCTATCAATTTCAGATTCACCAGATGCAGCAGCGCCTGAAGATCCCTTGAGTCTAAAAGTGCTGTCCGAGAGCCTCCTCCCCTCAAAAATTTCTGAGCTGCTCAAAGAGCCGAACCTAAAAGCCACCATACAATCGTTCAAATTCCACTGCGCAAATGGCAACCTTACACTTGGTGGGGTCAAGCCTGCATCATGCGAGGTGACCGACTTGCTATCAGGGCAGTACAATCCACAAACAGACTGTGATTGTAATGGTCATCTACACACCGACACCAAAGATTTCGTGGTCTCCCAGGGCCTTACCCAATGTCGGTCCGTGGAGCGGACTGTGAGGGCAATGAAAGATGTTGAGGCTCGACAAGACGAGTGGAACGGTAAAGACATTTTCACTGCACAGAGCCTTCAAGATGCTGTCAGTGAGTTAATATTGGCGAATTCGGAGATCCGCCATGAGCTAGATACCTGTCAAGGCCCTGAAATTGCCCGTGATCTCCCCATCGTGCAGGCCCCCGACCGGCGCCCACACCCTCTCAACGACAGCAGCCCGGAGATTGCCAGCCAGCTCTATCCAACATTGGAGGCAATCAAGCTATGCGCAGATGCAAAGCATTACTTTGCAATCGCCGCAGGCGCGAGTGGCTGTGATTATGGTCTTGCCCGTGCTATTGCGGATTGTGGGAATGATATCTTGATAGGCGATTATTGCGAAGCAGCGGATGCAAGAACTTTAAAACTCCTCCAGCAAAATGGCGCCGCTGCAATCGCTTTTTTGAAGCTTTGCAATCTTTCCAACCTGGTGACGGACTGGCAATTTGACAATCTCATGGCTGGGATTCTGCAGTTCCGCGTGATAGGATACTATCGTGATCACGCTCGACCACACCTGCCGGGTGGTCTCTACGGTAGTCGCATTACGGGCATCACGACACATCGTTATATAGATCTTGGGCTATTCCACGCAGTTGTGCCGGCTTCTCTCGCTACGGGCGAGCAGCTGACCAAGAGCGAGTATTCCAAGCTCGTCAAAGCATGTGCCCTTATCAACGACCTCATTGATTTCCGAAGTGACACCAAGCGGAAGCAACGTGAAAACGTGGTGTTGCGTGGACTACATGGAAATATCTGCGTCTATCTTGATGCGCTTATTGGGGAGTGTCTTGATACAACCGCTAGCCTGGTTGAATCCAGTAGACTGTGCGCTTTCGTTCTGATGAGCTTTTGCAATTGGTCGATAATGGGCTCACACCACAAGATCTATGAGCTGACGGGAGAAGTAAAAGTGGAAGACAAATGGCCACTGTGCCAATATACCTCTGTCAACAATCAGAGCAAGCACAAGCGTCTGCTAGACTCGTTGACTCCATTTGGGACCCTGGGCAAGGAAGGTCCCAATGTTTCAAATAAGCGGATCGAGCTCGACAAAAGATATGCCACTTGCATTCATGACACGAATAGACACTCGGCTTGGCTGGCGGACATGTGCCGTAGCTTGCTTTCCCCGCAGACTTTGCGAAAAATTGTGGATGTGGTTCATTACCGGTGGGATGGCCACGCGGGCGACGCGGAGTATTGTCCTTAACAAGCGTCACTAGAAGTTTCGCTTGGGAAATTTGGCCTATTTCTTTATAAATAAATTGTTAGATTGTTTTTGATGTTGTCTACGTAAATTCCATGCAAGCCTGCCTACTATCCAACCGTGGGACTCAGGGTGCACCAACACCAGGTACGTGTAATGGGCGCTTGGCACGATTATTGTAGAAAGGGTTGTGTATTGCGTTATTGTTCGAAGAAGCTAAGAGAGCCAACGGAGATAAGAATAACTTATAGACCTTGTTCCCTCCAGACCCTGCTTGAGATATTTCCCAACTGAGCAGGGGAGATTCGTTGGACGCCAACATCATCTTGCAAAAGTAATTCGGGGGAATCTGTAGAGGATTTTGGCCCAGAGCGGTCCTCTTGCGTGTTAATATGTTCGTCATCCTAGTCACGCGCTGAACTAGATAGTGTGAAACTACTAGCTGTGGTCAATTAATTTACTAGGTGTTGAGTTCAATCGCTGGCCGAGGAGGCTGAGAAAGGTATGTCGTTCTGGTAGTTGGCCAGTTTGCTAATTGTGGCCTTGCAATTCAGGCACTCAGGAACAAAAGCGGTGTGGGTATAATCGCGCTCATGTGTCTGAGCTCATCCCGCAATTCGGCTCTGATGTCGCCTCGATCTTGAATTCCAGAGCCTTCCCTCCACACTTGATACGAGGATTGGCTGCACTCAGGATGCTTGCTGCTAGATTGACGCACCCATCCCTTCTATTGTCGTCTTTTTAACCTTTCATCTCGACCTCGTCCTTCGTCCTTCGTCCTTCGTCCTTCGTCCTTCGCCTTCTCGAATATAACTTTCCTTTAGCTCTCTACACTCGTCCACCTTGACACACGAACCGAGTACAGGGAGCTCTCCGACATTTATTAAGAAGTACCATCTCCGGGAGGAGTTGTTGTCGATCGTTTGTCTTGGAGTCACTGTATCTTCATCTCACCACAATGCCTGGTCTACCGAGTATGTGCATGGTTTTTTTTTTTTTTTTTGATTCTAGGATATGGTTACCTCTATAGTTATGCTAACCTGTTGCCTCATAGCAAATATCGATCTTGATGAATGCATCGCCCGGCTCTACCGAAAAGAGCTGCTCGCAGACTCGGTGATCGAAGCGATCTGCCTCAAAGCGAAGGAACTTTTGATGAAGGAAAGCAATGTGGTACATATTGCTGCTCCCGTCACTGTGGTCGGCGATATCCACGGCCAATTTTTTGACATGATCGAGATCTTCAAGATCGGCGGCTTCTGTCCTGACACAAATTACCTATTCCTTGGTTAGTCACACCCAGAAAACGCTCTGTTCGAGGATGAAAGCAGACTTCGACTTTGAACATATTTGTTGCTCGCTTTTGTTGTGAAGTGTTGCTGATAAGAGAGTCGACAGGCGATTATGTGGACCGCGGCCTTTTTAGTGTTGAGACCATCTCACTTCTGGTCTGTCTCAAATTACGATATCCTCAGCGAGTACATCTTATCCGCGGCAACCACGAGTCGCGCGGCGTCACACAATCATACGGCTTCTACACCGAGTGTGCCCGCAAATACGGCAATGCCAATGTCTGGCATTACTTCACAGACATGTTCGACTTCCTGACCCTCAGTGTTGTGATTAATGACGAGATATTCTGTGTACATGGTGGCCTATCCCCTTCCATCCATTCAATCGACCAAATCAAGATCATCGACCGTTTCCGCGAGATCCCACACGAAGGCCCCATGGCCGACTTGGTCTGGTCCGACCCTGACACAGAACGCGACGAGTTCTCACTCTCACCTCGTGGTGCCGGATACACTTTTGGAGCACAGGTTGTGCGGAAGTTCCTAGAGGTGAACAGCATGTCCCATATCCTACGCGCACACCAACTCTGCCAAGAAGGCTACCAGGTCCTTTACGATGATCGTCTGAGCACGGTCTGGAGTGCACCCAACTACTGCTACCGCTGTGGAAATTTGGCTAGTGTGCTTGAAGTGAGTGACTCTGGCGAGCGCTTTTTCAACATTTTTGACGCTGCGCCTGAAAATGACGCCCATCGCCTTGAGCAGTTGGGTCAGCAGCAGCAGCAGACCAAGGATGGCCCTAGTCCAATGGTCGACTACTTCTTGTGAATCTCTGCATCTTCTCATGATACCCATTGGTTAATGTTAATGTTTGTGTATTTCAATTTCCTTTATTTTACCGCCTCGCACTAGACAGGAGTTTGGATAAAGCTGTGCATTCACCAACAGCTAGATGTGCTACTTGGCATCTGAAATGAAAACCATACACCACCTATAATTGAGACTCGGTATGACGCATAAACAATAAAACTGGGATCCAAAGCATCAGCCCAGTGGGACGCATCTCTAACAGTTTTGTCAAAGAAAGAAACTCATCACGCTTTGAAAACAAACGGCCGCTCAATAACTTAACGAGATAGCTCTCTCAACCAGGTTTACCAGTCCTTGGCAATGTCAAAGGACCATTCGAACAGCAGGTGAGTGTGCTGGTCATCATCAATGAACTTCGAGACGGCGTTGTAGTGACCACGGGCGATCATGCCAGACGGGGCCTCCTCTTCGTTGACTAGAAAGGACCAGTGTTAGTAAAAGCTAGACTTGGAAACTAGGAGATAGAAGCCAGGTATAGTTACTCACATTCTTTGGAGTAGTCAACCTTGGAGGTAGTGTTGGGTGCGTAGCTGCCCAACATCTCCTCATCCTTGCTGACACGAATTCCCTTACGCTTGACGACCTGCAAGTACTTGAGGCCACTCAGAACTTCATGGTGGACCTGGAAGGTAACCTTGATGTGGAACTTAGAGCCCTCCTTGATCTTGAAAGGCTTATCCTTCAGGCTGTCAACAGAGCCCGGGGAGGACAGGTCGATAACAACATCCTCACGGCCATCGACTTGCAGAGCCAGAGACTTGATGATGCACTTGCGAGGGTCATTGGGATCGGCGATGGGATCACCGGAGTTGAGACCCAAAGAGGCCTTCCAGCGGTTCATGGCTTCATCGTCCTTGTCTATTGCGGGGGAAAGAATAGACGGTTAGCTAGGGAAATCACTGGGGGCTAGACATTGCCAATGAATTCATAATTCAATCAACGTACCGAGCTGGTTGTACTCATCGAGGGTCTTCTTCTCTCCAACCTTGAAACCCTCGGTGGTGGTGGAAGCGAGCTCATCGTCGTGGTGGTCGGCCATTGTTTACAGATTTAGAAGGCGGGGGGGACACAGAACCAAGGATTGGAGTTCGGGGAAATGATGTCGTGAATAGTGGGGGATAATTGGACAGTGATGAAAAAGAAGAAACAGAGTCAAAACTCGAAACGATAAGGAAAAATAAAAATAAAAATAAAAGGGCTAAAGCTCGAAGCCGTCTCCTGAGACCTTGGTGGGGGTGGAAAGGCGGTGGGAGAGGGGCGAGGCTATTCGGATTCCCACTTGTGTTTTTATGCACGTTTACGCACCGTTGATCCTGCACGGTTATATTAACCAGAGTGTTTTACATTGGGATTGATTATATGGGCTAATTTTTGTTTTTCTACTGAGAATGTGTAGATTATAGATGTAGAGAATTGGGAATGATCCAACACTATGTTGTATATCTCGACTCTAACTATGTTGTATGCTCCATGTCGGGGTGTGGGGGCCGATGATCATGCAACTAGACGTAGTGGCCCAGGTTGATAGTACATACAACATTGTTATATACAACGTTGTCGATTGTGGGTTGATTCCAAGGTTGCAGGATTTAAAAAATGTAAAGAGAATATAATGTGTATTGATAGATATAGTAATAGGAGTATATATATATCGGAAATATGTTATACTACATTTACTCCATGTGGAAAAGGAAGGGGATTTCTATAGTTATTAGTAGCAATTCAATGCAAAATATAGGCCTTGTATATATATTACCATACTCATATAACTACCTAGGTAGTTATGTGTTGTACTCAAAAACAAGTTGTAAAAGAAGACAAGTTCAAAGGAAAGTGTTGGCCCGGAATGTCAAGGTCACGGGGCCAACAATTCGAATACATTGGGGTATACCAGATACGCTGTATCAACCCAATTAACCAACCAGAGAACTCAAGTACCACACATGACCATTTGTTTACCGGACCTTACCGGAACAGGTCAAGCTTCAGAACGACGCAATTACTCGCGACTCGCATCTTCTCGTCTCTCCTGATTGTCTTCTTTATCTCGTCTTTTTTTTTTGTTTTGTTTTTTTCTGGGGCCCTTATCAATCATAATTTTGGCTGCGCACTTCTCTTTTGCCAAGATACAAGTTCTGTCGGTGGTAATATTTGATCCTTGATTTTTGTCGCTTGACGCGCCTGCTACGTGGCCAACGTTGGCGCATCTTTCCCTTCGAGTCACCCGCAAGTCACCCGCAAGATCTTCTTTTCCACTTCATTCGACATCCCCCACCATGTCGCGGACACTCCCAAAACAGTTTAATCCGCTCATCACGATCGAGGTTGCTCCCACCTGTAAGTTCGAACACTGGCGCGTGGTGGCGCGACCGCGCGCATCGGCTATCTACCCGCCTCGTGCTCCCTCAATGCCTCGAGGCCATCGCTAACGATTTCGCGTTACTCTCGATTACAGACGATGAGCTCCTTGCCCGCCGTCGTCTTGGACAAACCAACCTTTCCGTCAAGCCAGCTCAGATTGGCACCTCAAACGCGACCAAGCCCGAGAACCTAGGCGTGTTCGAGTATGCTCACCTCCGTGCTCCGCTGCCCAAGGACCTCGAGGGCTCTGAGATCTTCCCTCCTCACCCTCAACAACACCCAGACAGTTACTTCTTGATGGTGAGACCTCCCGTTTTATCGGATTTTGAACCCCAACGGGCACTGACTTCGGGTCCCATCATTACAGCGCCGTAGTAAGGATGGCTTTGTTAGCGCGACTGGAATGTTCAAAATTGCATTCCCATGGGCGAAGGCCGATGAAGAGCGGACAGAGCGTGAGTATCTGAAAGCTCGCGAGTACACCAGCGAAGAGGAAGTCGCTGGTAATGTGTGGATCTCGCCCACATTTGGTATGTTCTGACCAGGATGTTCTCACTATCAAAACAAATCCTTACTTTATACCTAGCCCTTGAGCTTTCCAAGGAATACCAAATGTACGATTGGGTGCGCGCACTGTTGGACCCAACGGACATTGTGCAAAGTCCTTCCAGCGCAAAGAAGCACATCAATCCCCCGCCGAAATTCGAAATTCCCTCCGATGAGCCGCCCGTGTCGCAGCGCAACCGCAGAGGTCGGTCCGCTTCTCCGAGCAAGAAGTTGTTGTCTCCTCGGAAGGCCCGCAGCACCCGCGTCACCAAGGATGTCACTAGCACTCCGTCCACAAAGGCTGCAAACGCGAGCCTTCAGTCGGCATTAGATACAGCTTCCGCCCTTTCGGCAGCGATTCCCGAATTGCGTGCCGTGGATGTTGAAACGGAAGTAAGCAGATCTCCTGGAAAGAAGACCAGAGGGGGCGTGGCGCATAGACTTGCTACCGCGGAATCCGAAGAGGATACAAAGGAGACCAAGGGGGAGACGAAGGAGGAAAAGAAAGAAAAGAAGAAGGCCGACAAGAAAGAGAAGAAGAAAGAAGAGATCAAGGAGCAGGAGGAGACCGCCGAGGTATTGGAGGCCGACGATGTCACTGATGCTGTCAAGTCCACTCACACTACTGTTTCCCTGGACATGCCTATCAGTCTGCCGGAAGTGCCCTCTGCTGCGGAGACCGAAGAGATGATTGCCCAGGCCAAGGTGATGGTGGAAGAGGCCATTAAGGCGCAAGCCGAAGGCGCTACTGCCGAATCGACACCTGTCAAGGCGACCACCAAGCGCAAGGCCGAGGAGGATGACGATGAAGAGACATCGGCCGAATCCTCCCAACGAGCCAAGAAAGCCAAGGTGCTCGAGAACAGGCTCAAGCAGGAGCGTGTCCGCAACCGCTCTATCTTCGGTGTCTCCGTGGCCTTTGCTCTGGCGTAAGTCATTCCGTGCTACGAATATCCCGAATAAACACTAACATCATATATAGGGCTTCTATCCCATACTTTTTCTAAACAGGATGAGGTTTTGCTTGATGAAATCCAGTCTGTTTGAAATTCTGGTCTCTTCCTTTCGGCGTGTCTGTCGCTTGCGACGGCTCAGCTACCCAAATATTCACTTCTGATGCCCAATTCCCCTTGTCGTTATCATAAATATATTCCTCGCCGGCGATCCTGAGTGCCCTGTGCCTGTTATTGACACCATTTTCTAATATTTTGCCCTCCCCTTCCCTTCCCTTCCCCTCCCCTCCCTCTCCCTGTGTTTTGCACCAGACTTGGTTATTTGGATTGCTTCTTGGCTCATTTCATGCCCCTTACCCTTGTTCTCCTGATACCAACTTCCTCCCTCTCCTACCTTCTACTGTCCTGTGGCAGTTTTCCAAGTAGTCAAGGACGATTCGCTCAATGACAGTGATATGCTTTGATGTTGCCAGTTTGTGTTTCCTGTAGGGTTATAACCTGTGTATTGTTCTATTGATAACAAAAACTTGAAATGTGTTTATGTTCGTACTAATTACGGGTGGCCAACCTTGGAAGTACACGCGGGACATAGTCCTATACTGCCTTCATATACTAACACGAATAGTCGGTTGCTTATATGGCTTTCTGATGTCTTTCTGATGGTCTTTCTTAAGTGCATACATATATGTTGTAAAGGCGGTAAAAAAAGTGCACACTGTACAAAAGACCCTTCTATATATAACATTTGATTTTAACTTCTCTTTTTCAAGTCGATGTCTCTAATAACTAATTAGTTTCCGAGCCCTGGCCGGGATACACCTTCGTATCTTTGATTAGTTAGTCAATGAGAGAGATGTCGCACGCCCGTAAACGTAAACATTAATGCAAACAAGTAAAACAATTATGAAGCTCCATACTCCACACCCGATAACAATTCCGATACTACTTCTTTCACCCCATTCAACGTTCGCATATATCTCAAGGTTTCCGGAATTGACCGGTAACATGTCGCTTCCGGGTCTTGAGCTAACCCAGCCGTCGGAGGAAAGATCGCAGGTACCGGCACCACCGTCACAGATCAGCCTGACCCCAGGTTCGGAGTGGCGGTTCGAGGTCGCCTTTGGGCACATTATCAAAGTAAAGGTATGTTATATTTCTCTGATGTGGTTGGGATCCTTCTAATTCAAGTTGTGCAGCTTCTCAATGGAACCGCCGAACTCTTCGGAACAGAGCTTGCCGAATCCCAAACCTACACTTTCACCGGTACAAAAGCGGCAATCTTCACATGGCATGGCTGCGCACTTGAAGTCACTGCGGTCGAGACGGCATCAACTACCTCTGATGGAGTTACCCCGACAGTCGGTCATGGTGCAGGGGGCTGTCAAAGCGAATATACGGCCGAGGAAACACCAATGGTAGAATATGCCAACGTCCACTTTGCGCTGGAGACAATGCGTGAAGAAGCTCAATCAATAGGCAAGGATGGCCCGCGCGTGCTCCTTCTCGGCTCTGAAAACACCGGAAAGACCAGTTTGGCTAAGATATTGACCGCGTATGCGACGAAGATCGGCCGTCAACCGTTGGTCGTGAACCTCGACCCGACGGAGGGTATGCTGGGTGTCCCTGGTACACTGACTGCGACAGCCTTCCGTACCATCTTGGACGTTGAAGATGGCTGGGGAAGCAGTCCCATGTCCGGGCCCAGCCCCGTGCCTGTCAAGCTGCCGCTTGTGTACAGTTACCCGATGCAAAGCCCGCTCGATGGCGAAGGTGCCGTGTACCGACCAGTCGTCTCGCGTCTTGCGCTCTCTGTCACGGGGCGGATGGCCGAAGACGAGGATGCGCGTGAAACTGGAATTATCGTCGATACGCCCGGAATCCTCGGTACAGACAAGCCTGGCACAATGGAGCTGATTAACCACATTGTTACGGAGTTCTCAATTACAACCATCCTGGTACTGGGCTCGGAACGCCTGTACAGCACCGTTGCCAGACAATACGACAACAAGCCCACCTCTAGCGCAACAGCCGCTGTCTTCGACGAGCACATCTCCGTCGTCAAGCTTTCCAAATCGGGTGGCTGTGCTGACCGTGACGACGCCTTCCGCAAGGCAACACGGGAGTCCCAAATCCGTTCCTACTTCTTCGGCAATCCCATCCCCTCCTCATCGCCCTCTTCCGCCATAACACTATCTCCCCACGCACAGCAACTCGACTTCGCCTCCCTCCCCGTATACAACTACATCGTCTCCTCAGCAGACGATGAGGATGAAGACGAATACGATCCCTCCCAGCTGGGAACAGGCGACTCCTTCCTCCCTGGCGGTGGAGGCATGGACGACTACACCACACAAGGAACAAAACAAGACCCAGACCGCGCTGCCCCCCTCCCTGGTGTCGTGGGCTCATTTTCAGAGTCCACAGATAACCTAAATTCCAACGCCAATGCCAACAACGGCAGCAGCGTCCCTTTGAAGAAGGTCCTTCCACCCGCTCCCTCCGCTCTGGCAAATACCCTCCTCGCAATTACCCATGCACCTACCACGGCATCCCCCGCCGAAGTCCGCGACGCGAGCATAATGGGCTTCTTGTATGTTGCCGACGTTGACGCGGATAAGGGCAAGATCCGTGTGCTTGCGCCTGTTGGTGGGAGAATGCCTCCACGCGCTATTATTTGGGCGAAGCGTTGGCCCGGCGAGTTGGTTGGGTTGGTGGGTTAGAGATTTTCTTTGCATTGCAATTTTTTTTTCTTGCTTGCATTAGAAATTTACATCTATTCTTAGGATATGGAGTTGGGGGTGGAGATTTTGAGATTTCACTTAGCATGGGGTTGTGGCTCGTTATTACATACAATCAATCATTCTACGGGTGTGTATTCAATGTGCGTGTATGTAGGCTATAATATTGTACAATAGCATGTGTTTGATTTCTACTTTACTGACGAGGTGGTTCTGTTGACCTTTTTTTGGTGACATGAAGAAATAGCCATTCGAAATGTAGGAAGTAAATGCTAGGATAATATAACAATGGACTAGGTTATATAACTAGTTAGTTATATATATGCTGCACATGTGTGCTATGATATGATGCTATGCTAGTACAGTACAAAACAAAAACTCCCTCCAATCACTGTACAACCCCAATGCTCCCAAGTATACATGCATTTACAGACAGAAATCAAAAGCACAATGAAACCATACAATCATAAACATCACTCCCACCTCCTCCACTCATCAACAGCTTTCCTCATCTCCTCATCACAATTATACCCCTTCGACTGAGAAACCAACAACTCCTCTCTCCGATCAAGGAACCGCCTTTCAGCCTCAACCCTCCTCTGCGCAACAGACCTCAACAACCCAAAATCATCCTTAACAACCGCCTCTAAGAACTTCGCCCGCATACGCGGCGAGTAAAGCTGACAACTCGCCTCACGAGTCCGACCAGGCCCATCACCAGGCAAGATGCGCATCTTCGTCGTGATCATGCATGCAATAGGATGACTCGATCTCGCCAGCGGCCAAACAACCTCATCATAGCAGTCTTCACAAACACACATCTCCGGCAGCGACGGTATAAAGTGCCACGTACTAAGCGTGGGCCTATCACGACGACAATCCCGCAGAACGACCTTGCGCCGTGCATAGTTGAGGAACTCGCGCGTATCCGGACGGCGGGTGCGCGAGGAGTCCGATTCAGCTCGCGAAGCAGATGCATCGAGGAGATCGATGAATTTCACGAATCGCGGACTCGACGTCACGAAGTCGCATACCCGCTCGCTGGTGTCGGGGTTTGGCTGGAACGTCTCGCGGTGGCTGGGCATTAGGATGCGGATGTTGCGTGCACAGCTGGTACAGACGTGGAAGCCTGGGAGGTCGTTACCGGTTTCCGGGTCGTAGATGCGGTGCCAGTGTTGTTCGGCCACGATGCGCCCGGGACAGGATCGTGTACCCGGTGGTGGACGGGTCATTTGGTACAGGAGCTCTAGGCTGTCGTGTTGCTTTTTTATCATCTGGGCCCAGGCGAGACGGGTCCATGCGTTCGCGAAGGCGCATCGAGTCTTTTGCCCGGCTGGTTTTGGGAGGCTTGGGATGAAGTAGTCCCGGTACCGAGAGTGTGCGATTTGACTCATGCAGGATGGGCAGATGTCTAGGTGGGTGAGGCCTTTCAGCGTGTACCAATCTTGGTAGCCTGCTACGGCGATTGTTCGCGGGCATGGAGAGAGGCCTAGGCCTACTGAGCTGGGGCGCTTTGGAGATGTTTCCGGGGGTCGAGTAGGTGCGGGATGAGCCAGTGACCTGTCCGGGTTGAGTTGGGTTACGACTTGGGTTGATGTAGGCTTGATCATCTCCGGTGGTGGTCGTGATGGATGGCGAGAGCCAGACATTGACCGGGTAGGCGGCATTGTTACCGATGTTGCGCGGGCACGTGAGGCCGGTGGCACTTCCTGTTGTGTTCGTTGGATCGGAACACGCTGAGGCCCACGCGAAGGTGAGTGCGAGGCTTGAGCAGGAGCAGGAGGCGGAGGCGGAGGGGGCAAAGATATGTTGAGAGGATTTAGTTTGATAGGCTTCCCAGTTGGCATTTGCCGTACCTCCGGGTCTGACATAGATCCCGACTCGCGCTGTTCTTGTCGCTGGCGAAGCTTCTCCTCAATGCGCTCTGCAAGGGTGGGCCCATTTGGTAGAGCTGACACAGGAACCGTGGGTACAGGCGCCTGTGCCGGGTGCGAGGGTGGTCTGTTATATGTGGTGGCCGAATCGGACAGATACCCCGAGCTAGGCGCCCGTCGAAAGCGCTCTGGCATTGGTCGTGTTGTTGAAGGCGCGTGTCTAGCACTGTTGGACCGACTAATGGAAGACTGGAGCGGCGGTAGGTAGGTCTTATCATGCACGGGAGCTCGAGCACCGCTCCGATCCGGTGAAATCTGCCCACGGGAGCCAGACATATTCTGCAATGGCGGCCCGTGTCTGCTGTAATTGCCATCCCGGCTATGAGATGGGGGCTGCGGTTCCCGCTGGGTATTAACCTCACGGGTAAGCTGTTGCTGGGCTAGAGGTCGAGATGGCGGTCCGCGTGGTTGGGTTGTAGTTGAGGGCGGCGCACGTTTCGGCCGATCATCCGTCTCAAACCTGACGGTGTTCCGGAAGACTGGCTCTTGAAGAGGCGGTGTCATTGGCCCTGCACTTTCATCCGAAGACACACTCCCGAGCCCAGACACACTGGGAACACTGGCAGGGGAGGTAGACGGCGGAGGGGGCGAATTGGCAGTGATTATGATGGGATACTGATCAACAGCCCCTCTTGTATGAACACCATCGACTCCCGGTTTATCTCCAAGCTTGGAGAGACCATTTAGCTCCTTCAAGAGGGACTGGGGCTCTTCCTCAACGCAGGGCGCAGGAGGCCATTGCGATCGTGCTCGTCGAGAGCTCCGAGAGGGAGCCATTTCTAAAAAAAAATAAAAGAGGATTTGGCCAAACAGATAGTATGGAATATGATTGTTTTAGGACGTTAACCTGGTGCGTTGACGTCTCGTGGAATAACTCGAGAAATATGGTTCATAGTACAAATAGTCGGACTTGAAAAGTGAAAAATTGCAGGGGGGCAAAAAGCTATGGTACGTATGAAAGAGAGAGAAAAAATTTTCATGGAAGTAGACAAAGATGCTCGCTTTAAAGTACGTGCGCAGGCCGGATGTACAAGGGTATATAAGCGTCGGTGGATGGCATCGGGCATCACCCTGAGAGAATAGACCTCTGATAGGCCATTTCACTGATTGGGCAAGAGCAAAGATACAAACAAGAATAACTTCAGGCTGAAGAAGAATCACAAGGCAAGGATGGCAGGTGGAAACCGTGAAACAAATGGTCGAGTCACCGTCATCACAAAGGGGTGTGGCTATGGCAACCTGTTGACTATTGGGCACGAAGTGGAACCTCCGGGTACTGCCGTTGCGTTTCAGGTCGATTTATTTAGAATCAGACCGGTCCACTGGATCACATTGGGCAACAAATGAGAATCTCGAGGTTCCTCAGGGGCTGATGTTTGGGAAACTTGTCCCTAAACTTGGAGTGACCGATCAGAGGATAATGACATGCGTAGTGTCTCGTGTGTATGGCTCAGGGGAGATATATTCTCTTCCAAGGTTTCATGATGCAGTCAGCGGCAGATGATACAAAGTGGGCGTTATATCATCCTGCAGAGCCAGGACCAACTGACATGCCGGCTTGTGGGTTGTGGGGGATTGGCCCCTCATGGGGCTCCGGGTGGCTTGCATGTTGATTTTGTAACGGAGTGCTGAAGCGCTAATACAGCGGCAGGTCTGATCAGGAACTTTACCTGAGCGCCATAGATTTTCTGTCAGAGAAGGGGGGGCATTATCTGTTGAATATATTTTGTTCCACTTGAAAAAGACTGTGTTGCACTTGTTCCGACAGGTCCTGCAAAGACCTCAGGATATTTGAATAATTGATATGTCAATGTTGGATTTGGGGAACCTGTATAAAGAACATTGTTAAATCTGAATACGGCATACTCAGTATAGACCATAAGACTGGAGTTGGTTGATTTCTAAAAGGCAAGGGAAGGGAAAAGAAGAGAGCGCAACAATTCCGCCGGAAATTGCGGGGATCCGATGACAAATATGAAGCCGATGGCGATGGCCTTCATGTCCCCAACACTCCCCACCCCCCACCTACTTATTTGTTATGTTTCGCTCTCTTCTACACAGTAGTTCTCGACTCACAGTACTTCGCAACCACATTGCCCCTCCTCTCGTGAACCAATTCACTCCAATTCGCAGCATGTCCGTCCCAGCAACCATGAAGGCCGTAGTGGTTGAGCAGACCGGCGGCCCTGAAGTGCTCCAATTCAAGACCTCATACCCAGTCCCTACCCCACAAGCAGGAGAGCTGCTAGTGCGCAATAACATCTCTGGTGTCAACTACATCGATACCTACTTCCGGACGGGCTTATACCCCGCGCCCAAGCCCGAGATCTTGGGCCGCGAGGGCGCCGGTGTTGTCGCCGCTGTCGGTCCCGGGACTTCCGGATTCCAGGTCGGTGATCGAGTTGCATGGTTGTCTACTGGTGGGTATGCCGAGTACACTGCAGTGTCCGTGGCCCAGACTGCGAAGATCCCCGAGGGGATCAGTGATGAAGATACCATGGCCTCATTCCTGAGCGGCTTGACGGTGCTTGCTTTCGCAAAGGAGACTTATCCCGTGCAGAAGGGCGATTGGGTTCTTCTCCATGCTGCAGCTGGTGGTGCTGGCTTCCTTATGACCCAGATTCTGAAGACTATGGGTGCCAACGTTATTGGTACCGCCGGCGGCGCAGAGAAGTGTGCGCTTGTGAAGAGCCTTGGTGCCGATGTGGTGATTGATTACCGCAGCGAAGAGGGTAAGGACTGGGTTAAAAAGGTTAAAGAAGCTACTGGTGGTCGCGGTGTCGATGTTGTCTACGATTCTGTCGGCAAGGATACTTGGGAAGGAAGCTTGGAGGCTGTCAAGCGCAAGGGTACTATTGTCTGGTTTGGCAATGCCAGCGGGCCTGTTCCCCCGCTTCCTCTTGCGTATGGCCTTTCCCTCTCTGTATTGGACTTGGCCAGTGATACTTATGATATTTCAATAGGAAACTTACCCCCAAGTGTGTCAAGGTTGCTCGCCCGTCGCTCTTCGGATACATTCAGACCCGCGAAGAGTTCGAATCATACACCAATGAGCTGTTCGGCCTACTAAAGTCAGGCCAACTTAAGACCAAGATCCACAAAATCTACCCACTGGAGGACATTGCTCAAGTGCACAAGGTATGTAGTCTCCGTCGTTCTTTGCGTAGAATTCTAGTCATTGTGTTCTAACCCGCTCGACAGGATTTGGAAGGACGGAAGACCATGGGAAAGCCACTTCTGAGACCTTGAAGCAGGACCTGCCCTTTTTAAGCAATACAAGCCGATTGTGATCTATTGATAATAAGGTATTTCTGGCCGCGCGCTGCGCGGCCTTTTAAACCTTTTCGTACTTACGATATTAAGAACGAAGTATTGTTCCTCTATAAAATAAAATAATATGGTCAGACTGGGCACTCGGAAACTTTATCCACTTCGGGGGCGGGCCGATTTGCTTTTCTTCCAAGGTTCCAAGGTTGTTCCACTCCTGTCCGCCCCCATATTTCTTGGCATGCATGCCAAGAACCGAGGACCGAATTGTGGAATTGTACAGGATAGATTCATCCGGTCAAGCCAAGCACCAAGCACCGAGCACCGAAGGACGGTACAATTCAAAGAAAAAGCTGTCCATCTGTTTAATCTAGTCGTAGTTCCTCTAGATACATAGTTCCTTCTCTCATACACTCAGATAATTTCTCAGTTCCTAGATCAATTTACCTCTCTGTGTCTCTTAGAATTCTCCCCTTTATTTGCTCAATTACCTCTGACAGCAGTCGTAATGGCTGACGACAACCTCGCCAATACAAGGGTCCGAACCGGGTCATCTTCGGCCGAGCATACTTCCACAGACGACCAAGCGAACGAGCTACACGATAGGGTTGCAAAGGTCGCGGAGCGATTGTCAATATCTTCTGGTTCTGGGGAGTGGCAGTCAGAAGTACTCACGCCCACGCCGGGCAGCAAGCTTGATCCCTCGTCCCTAGCATTTGACGCACGAGTTTGGGTAAAAGAGTTTATCAGACTAACGGAATCGGACCCTGATTCTGCACCTTCGCGCTCCCTTGGCGTTGCCTTCAAGAAATTGGGTGTGTTTGCATATACCACCGCCGCAGAGTTCCAAAAGACCACAGGGAATGTCATAATTGGACTCACAACATATCTAGCAAGGTGGCTTAGTGGAAATCGAGATGGCAGACGTGTGGACATTCTACGCAACTTTGAAGGTGTTATAGAAAAGGGAGAAATGTTGCTGGTGCTGGGTCCCCCTGGCTCTGGCTGCTCTACACTTCTCAAGACGCTATCAGGGGAAACGGCGGATTTGAATATTACCCCAGACTCTTATATCAACTTTCGAGGTTCGTTCTTGATAGCCCATTCAACGTCTTAGACTTTGCTCAACGTACTCAGGATTAGACGTGGCCAATATCCGCTCTTCCCTCCGCGGGGATGTTCTATATAATGCTGAGCTCGATGTCCACCTGGCACATCTAACTGTTGGAGAGACTTTGACGTTTGCTTCTCGCGCTCGCTCTGTCCGACACGTTCCAGGAGGCTTTGACCGCCATCAGCTCAACACGGTACGCCGCAATGTCATGATGGCCATATTTGGCCTGAATCATACTATAAACACGCATGTTGGAGATGACCTCGTGCGTGGTGTCAGTGGTGGAGAGCGCAAGCGAGTCAGCATCGCCGAGGCTTCTCTGACTGGAGCCAAGTTTCAGTGCTGGGACAACTCTACACGCGGGCTCGACAGCGCCAATGCTATCAATTTTTGCAGCAACCTGCGCCTCCAGGCAGATCTACTTGATGTAACGTCTGTGGTCACCTTGTACCAAGCACCCCAGTCAGCCTATGATGTGAGCCTTCCTACAATAGGTGTTCAAGACAACATTCGTTGGCTAATTATAATATTTTACTTCTAGCTCTTTGATCGAGTCACTGTGGTCTATGAGGGGAGGCAGATATTCTTCGGTCGAATCACTGAAGCCAAGGGCTATTTTGAAAGCCTGGGCTTTGACTGTGAGTCTTCGAGGTTTGGCGAGCTGACAACGTATCTCAATTTTCTGACGAACTTTTAAGCCCTCCCTAGGCAAACTATTCCCGACTTTCTGACCTCTATGACCAGCCCGGAAGAGCGGAGGATGAGAGCTGGCTTTGAAGACTCCGTACCTCGCTCGGCGGATGAGTTTGCAGAACGATGGCAATCAAGCGAGCAGCGAAAGAACTTACTCTCTGAGCTTGCATCATATGAACAGAGACATCCCCCAGACGAGAGAACGGCCGAATACCATCATTCCAGGCGAGCTGAGCAGGCTAAGCAGCAGCGCTCCAAGTCTGCTTACACGATATCATACGCTCAACAAATCTCCCTAGCTCTTTGGCGCGCTTACCGGAGATTGCTGGCTGACCCTGGGTTCACCATCGCTTCTCTTTTGTTTAACGTCGTGATGGCGCTCATTTTGGGAAGCATGTTCTACGACCTCAAGCCGAATACATCCAGCTTCTACTATCGTGGAGGACTCATCTTCTTCTCGCTCCTTTTCAATGCTTTTGCAAGCCAGTTGGAGGTAAGTCCCTCCCCCAAACTTCGTTTCGTCGAAGTCCGACTTACTCGTATTGACCCAACTTGAAAATAGGTCCTGACAATCTATGCCGAACGTCCCGTTGTCGAGAAGCAGAATCGCTATGCTTTCTATCACCAGTCCGCTCAGGCAATTGCGAGCTACTTGACGGATCTACCCTACAAGATTGTGAATATGTTTGTGTTCAACATTCTTATTTACTTCATGGCAAATCTGAGGCGAGAGGCGGGTGCTTTCTTCTTTTTCTGCCTCACCACACTCCTCACCACTCTGGTTCAGTCAGCCGTTTTCCGCACATTGGCCTGTATAACCCGGACATCCGATCAGGCTATGATCCCTAGCGCCGTTCTAAGCCTTGGACTGATGATATACACCGGTTTCACCACACCACCAGAGTATATGCCTGGGTGGTCGCGTTGGATGGCGTACATCAATCCCTTGGCATACGGCTTCGAGGCTTTGATGGCAAATGAATTCCACCATCGGGAGTTTCACTGCGTAGACATGGTGCCAAGCGGACAAGGGTACACAAACCTTCCGTCTGAATCGCAAATCTGCTCTATTGTTGGGTCGGAGGCCGGTTCGGCCTTTGTCAATGGAGACAACTATATCAACAGGTCTTTTGACTACTGGAATGTGCACAAATGGAGGTCAGTATAAGTCGTTCCCGGTGAGACCGTCCTTGGGCTGATTAAGAAATGTAACACAGAAACATCGGTATTCTCTGCGCATTCTTGGCCTTCTTTTTCCCTGCCTACGTGCTTGCTGCGGAGCTTGCGAAACCACCAAGAACACGCGGCGAAATCTTAGCGTTCCGTCGTAACAAAGGCTCTCCTAAGCCAGAAAAGGCACTGTCCTTGGACGCCGAGAATCAAATGCAAGGTCGTCCAGTGGTAGCGGAAAAGCTGAATCCTCTAAGCCGGTCAGACGACATGGTAGTTGGAAAGGATGTCTTTCACTGGGAAGATCTCTGTTACGACATCGAAATCAAGGGCGGAACCCGCCGCCTTTTGGACCATGTTGATGGCTGGGTCAAGCCCGGCGTGTCAACTATTCTCATGGTAAAGCTCAATTCGAAGTCTAATGCAAGCACGCACTAATCATGAATTTGTCAGGGTGTGTCTGGTGCAGGCAAAACAACCTTGCTGGACGTTCTGGCAACTCGCGTCACCACGGGTGTCGTAACTGGCAGTACAATGGTCAATGGTAACCCGACCAATCCCTCCTTCCAGCACAAGGTTGGCTATGTTCAGCAGCAAGATCTCCATCTCAGCACAATGACGGTTCGCGAAGCGCTTCGGTTCAGTGCCGTTCTTCGTCAATCTGCAGAAATAACGCGATCTCAAAAGCTCAACTACGTGGAGCATGTCATCGACACACTGGAAATGCGAGAATTTTCGGACGCTGTCATTGGTGTTCCTGGAGAGGGGCTCAATGTTGAACAACGCAAACGTCTCACAATTGGCGTGGAACTCGCCGCTCGACCACAACTGTTGATCTTCTTTGATGAGCCTACTTCAGGATTGGATTCGCAGACTTCCTGGTCCATTTCTGAACTCATCAAGAAATTGACGAATAGCGGCCAGGCAGTTCTCTGCACAATCCATCAGCCCTCCGCTATTCTCTTTGACCAGTTCGATCGACTTCTTCTTATCGCCCCAGGAGGCAAGACAGCTTACTTTGGTGGTGAGTGCCTGCCTTCTCGTATTCTTAAAACGCTTTGTGCTAATTAAATATGCCTGTAGATTTGGGAAGTGGTGCTTCAACCATGATTAACTACTTTGAAAAAAACAATGCCCCTGCATGCCCCGCGGGTGCCAACCCCGCTGAATGGATGTTGCAGGTGATTGAACCGCCTACAGATGGCTCGAAAGCACCAGACTGGCACCAGGTATGGCTGGATTCTCTAGAATATCAGACTGTCAAGGCGGAGCTTGGTCGCCTTCGTGCTCTTCCAGCAACAGAAGCCGCAGATAATGAAGACACCACAGATGGAGACACCTCCCAGCATCAGGAATTCGTAGCCTCTTTCTGGACACAGTTCGGCCAGGTTTTACAACGCACTTGGAAGCATCTCTGGCGATCACCGACTTACATTTGGTCCAAAACCATACTGATTGTCCTTTCAGTACGTGAAGATTCCTCGTTGCCTTCTACTCGCCGCTAACCACGCTTTTCCTTGATAGTCTCTCTACCTCGGCTTTAGTTTTGAGGCCAACAATTCCATCCAAGGGCTGCAAAACCAACTGTGGGCTATCTTCATGCTGCTCGTGCTGTTCATCAACATCAATGAGCAAATAATGCCCATGTTCCTACCCCAGCGAGCGCTGTACGAGGCGCGTGAACGTCCGTCAAAGATTTACAGGTGGACAAGTAAGGCTCTCTTCCTTTTCATCGGCATTTTGTCCACGCAACTCGCTGACTCGTCCCATTCAAAGCATACTTACTTTCCAACATCCTCATTGAGCTCGCATGGCATACCCTTATGGCGGTCATCATGTACTTTTGTTGGTATTACCCAGTGGGCTTTATCAGAAACACCTCGTCCGATGACCAGGCTATCCGCGGCTTCCTCGTCTTCCTCTTTTTATGGGTTTACCTGCTATTCACGAGCACCTTTGCCCACTTCGCCATTTTCTGGATTGATCTTCCGGAAACTGCAGGCGTACTAACCAGTCTTTTCTGGATGCTTTGTATCCTGTTCTGCGGGTGAGTCCAAATTTGAAGAAATTACTTCCTCTCCAAATTTAAGCATCACGCTAATCATGAAAAATAGAGTCGGGGTCCCCATACTTGACCTTCCAAAGTTTTGGTCCTTCATGTATCGTGTTTCGCCCGCAACATACCTTGTTGGAGGCATCATGTCCAACGCAGTTGCCAACTCCAACGTTACATGTGCCGACCGCGAGATCCTCCGTATGGTTCCGATTGGAAACCTTACCTGCGAAGAATTCCTGGGTGCTTATAGGGAGGCTGCCGGTGGCTTGGTACTAAATCCGGCAGCGCGAAGCATGTGCGAATACTGCCCACTTGCCACCACTAATGAGTTCCTTGATCGATTTCAAATTTCGTATGACACGAGGTGGCGGGACTTTGGCCTCATATGGGTCTATATCTTAGTTAACATTGTGGCAGGGCTAGGGCTTTACTGGGCGTTCAAGGTCCCTAAAAAGGGAAATAGCAAGCGTGCTTGATTGAATTTTGGACCCAATAGGATAGACCGCGCAACAGTACATTTAGAGTAGTTAATCCTAATTCGTTTGTTTTCGCATTTCAAGTGCTTCCACCTCAGTCATTATTTTGTATGCAGATGGATCGGAAGCCGGTAGAGGGAAGAAACTGCGCACAGAGCATATTTATAGTGACTATCGTCAGTTGGACAAGAATTGCGAGGCGATTCAAGTCTAACTAGCCAGATATATAACTAACTAGTTAACTAGTTAGTTAACTAGTTACCTATAATAAAAACAAAGAACGCGACTACGCCTTGAAGGCGGTGTAGAATATTGCGGGGTATATATATATCTGGGAGTTGAAGCACTGCAGTGACACATCTTCCAAAGTTACAACCTTCAATATGATAAGAATCAACAAGTCCTGTGATCAGTGCAGGTACCGAAAAGTCCGATGCGTCGGTATAATCCACTTTCAAATTGCTGTCAGGTACATGGAATGGACTAGTTAAGGCTGATCATTCACAACTATTTGTAGTACCTGAAACACCCAGACGACCGGGGGCACCATCCACCTGCATCCACTGCATCGTATGCCTGTTCCAACTTCCTGGTGGTACAACATCGCCTCTAATGCAGCTTCACGTAGAATCGCAACGAATCTTGTCAATTTACACCTATCAGACGCAAATTCCGGCGCGAAGATACACGTGCGTGCTGGCCCTGGCCCTGTACAACCAATACACTGCATGTGTGATCACTAACGCCACGTAGAACCTGCTCCCCTCCCTATTGAATCATTACGGTCACGCGAGAATGACTTACCCATCGACCGTATCTTGCGTTTTGGGCCTCAAAATTTCGATCTCTATGATGATTCCGTCGTTGTCAAGGTATGGGTATAAACACGTACTTCTAGCAAAGTCCACATTGCTCATGACATCGTACTTGCAGGCTAGCAATGAGCGAAGTAAGCTTATAGTTCCCCATCTATCTGTGTACCTCCTCACACATGTCTAGCGACCAGCTCGGGCATGAGCTTTTTCTCGAATCAACGGATGAGTGCATTGGCCAGCCGAATAGGAACGGATGTACTTACAGAGCTTGTTGAGGACCTAGAAACCATCCTTGTGTCACGAGTATGTTCGCAAAACGACTATTCGCCGTCTACGGTTGAGTTCCAGTCGCCTCTAGCCGGTGTTAACGTGACGTCAAGCGAAGCCGGGGCCTATATTGACGGTCAGTCTATCCTTCCCTTAGTCATTGTCTGGCATCTGATTGAAAGAACTAGCCTACTTTGACCGGGTCCATCCTATTTACCCCTTTCTTGATATACAAGTGTTCACCTCGCATACTGCTAATTGCCACCGTACTGGGACATCGAAATGCAGCAAAGCATGTTCGGCAATATATCATGCTGTCCTAGCTTTGGGTAGCCAGTACCACCAAGGCGGCAGCTTCATACCAGGTTCGGGAAAGGCATGGAGTATTTTTCAATTATGTCTAGGTATTATTCCAGACATATTGGTTCCTCCATACTCATTAACGAAGCTTCAAGTATTTTAATGCCTGCACCTACTTTGTCTCATGTCATACTGACAAAATCCCATAGGCTCTGACAGCTATGGTGAGAGCTCAAAATCCTCGCTTATTATTCTCTCACACCTAATGTTCGAGTTGCAGTCCATCTTTGCAATGAATGCCTGCTGTCTTCAACTAGATCAGGCGTTGGTATACGAAGCCGCTAGAATGGCGCAAAGCCTACGCTACCACAAATCTTCAAATGCTCAACCAGCTCACTTGAAGGTGTTCTGGACTATATACCACTTGGAAAAGATTGCCTCCTTCTCTGATAACAATAGCTCAGTGCGTTAAAAGCTCTCTCCGGGCCATGGGAAATATTCTACTAATCATTAGCCAGGTGTTCGCTGATGAAGATATTGGATGCGACATCCCTTCCGTCCCGGAGTCAATGTTCGGAGACTACAACTGGTTCCTATCCGCCATCCATCTAAGCAGACTGACATCGATCGTATACACCACCCTGTTTTCGACGAGGTCTTCTTTGAAGTCCACAGAGGACTGCCTATGCTCTATCAAACACGTACGGCGCGGGCTAGAAGAATGGCGCTTATCGGTACATGTGGCATTTCGGCCGAAGGAGCCAATCCGACTAAGTGAAATTGGAAGTCCGAATATGAAGATGGTCGCTATACAGACGCATTACTTGTACTACAACCTCGTTTTTGCTGTAGAACGCCTATGCCTTCACGTCGACCCCGATGAAAAGCTGGATCGCGAGGATAGCAAGTGGGAATTGATGAACGCAGCGCGCACTGTCATTGAACTTGTTTCGTTCATTGAAATCAAGCCTCATATGCCTATCTTGTAAGTGCATTTTCCTCAACTTCAACGGGATACCAGCCGAAGGTCATACTCATAATTTAACCTAGCGTTGCTGGTATCATGCCATTATCGGCAGTCTTCGTTCTGTTTGATTTTGTGATTCACAACCCCGCTCATAGAGAAACGGAAAGTAATATTGCCTTCCTTGATCAGGCTGCGGCATACTTCAGTCAGCTTGACTACGCCTCTAAGGGCGCGCTCCCAGGAAGCATCATCTCAAGTTTTGCAGGAATTGCCCGACAATATATTCTCAAGTTGCGGGAAAGGGTACCCACGCCTACCATCTCGAAGCCGGAGATGCAGCAAGGAACCCAACCAATATGGGATTACGGGCCAGATATTGATTTCAAAGATATAGATGTAGGGAACCTTTCTCTGATATCCAAACATCGCTAACTCCGTCATAGCTTTCTTCGATAATGTCGCAGCAGAATTCCGGGCAACTTCCTTTCACGAGCTTTGCCACGCCATCGCCGTATAGTCTCGACATGCTCAATTACCCCCCATCCCAGGATATGCATGCCTCGAACAACCAAGTAGAGGACCTGCGATCCATTTTCGGCCTTGTGTTCCCTGATTGGGCAGGGGATGTATAGGCTTGTCTCCGCTGCTCAGGGCACGGGTGCTCGGTTTTGCTCGATCAAAATGTGGCAAGTGGCGAACACTAAAAGGGAAAGAGAAAGAAGTTCCTCTCTATGTAAAACAATCTGAACCATTTTTACTAGAGGTATTGTATATTTGTGGATACGGGTACTATGTCGAATTGTATGCGATGCCCTCGTTGATATAAAGAAAGGGAAAGATATATGCAGTGTTGGTTTAACTACTGTATAACCAAGGTCATGGCTGCCAGAAAACACAGAATATCCTTTCTTTCCTCATCGATCAGAGCTTTACCTAGGTAAGTTCCATGGCGAACAGACTGTTTGGTCCGCCCGGAGTATATGTATGCGAAATTTGAAAGGAATCAGACGAATAGTTTATGTTTTAGGTAAAGACTACGATACAAGGATGCGGATATTCTTTAGATATCCATACGGATTTCATTTCTGGTTCTGCATTTGGCTAAGGACATATTTGAAAGGCATTCCGGTAAATTTGCAGCAGACTGATCACGTAGAAAAACGATAGCTGCGCCTAGTGACCTTTCAATCACTAGTTGTCTCCCTCCAGTGCGCCCTTGATTTCCTCCTTTTTCTCAACAGCCTGCTCCTTCGAAGTCTCTGTCGGTCCCTTCGGCTCCTGGGCCTCCGCAATAATCTGCTCCTTCGAAGTAGTCTGGGTTCCTCGGTTGTTTGTTGGTCCTTTACCGGGCTGTCGCTCGGGCTCCTTGCCCTTCGCAACCTTCTTCTCCGAAGTCCGGCCTCCTCGCTGGGCCTGTTCCTTTTCAAGCTGCTCCTTTTTTTCCTTGAGGAACTTGGCGATGACCTCCGGTGCGATATTAGGCTTGATCTTTTCCGGGTTCTGGAAATGATTGATAGTGCGATCAAGGGTCTCCTTAGGGGTCTCAAAAAGAGGAATGTTGCGGGGCTCACTGCTAAGGCGCGTGCGGGACTGCTCTCCCTCGGTCGACTTCTCCTTACCTTTGCGCGGATTCGGATCCACCACGCCCATCAAGTCCTTGACTTCCTCCAGGTCCCAGCCGAAGGCCTCAAGGGTACGGATAATTTGCCAGACAGCAACCATGGCATCATCACCCGGCTTGAGATGGAAGGTCAACTCGTGTGTCAGCATGTGCATAGCCCACTCAGCCGGGGTGGGCTCAGGAGGGCTCATAATGGACTCCTTTGCGCGACGGCGTGCGACTTCCTCTTCATCGGGGATGAAGTTAACAGGCACGGGCTCGTCATAGTCCAGCATCCAGTCGTTGTACAGGAACTTGTAGAAGCTTGGCAGGACCGCCATGACTTCATCGAAATAGTGCTGTCCGAAGTTGGTCTCAAAGACATTCGCGATGATCTTCATGCCGGGCAACATATGGACAAGCAGCTCAGCTTCAACGAGGAATTCGAACTCGTAGGTCGGGGCAAAACCAGCATCCCAGTCGATTTTCTCCCAGGGAGCGAGGTCAAAGGGACCTCTAGCAGGATCACGGAATTCCTTGGCTCGAATCTTGCCAACTGGGCTGAGGTCGGGGCACAGCTCATTGTAGTAAGCGATGGTTTCCTGGGTAGGTTCCTCCACAGAGATGATCTCGAAACCATCGATGTCTGGGACCTGCTTGGCTGTGGTCATGTCCATGTCAACAAGAATCTTGAATTTGCGAGCAGTCCGGTCATTCCCAGCAATTGCAATAGCATACTTGACGACCTTGCGAGCCATATCAGCGGTGAAAACCACTTGATCAGCGTATCGAACATTGGTCCATGCGTCCGGGTCATCAACATCTTCAAAGTAGTAGCCACCAAACAGCACGGAGCAGCCGCGGTTGAAGTCTCCGGGGCCTCGATGATGAACAAGTTGCTGGTTCATCCACAACTCCTTGGTAGCCCGATCGCAAGTCTTTCGGGCTTCCTCGAGATCCTCTGTCTGCTCGGGACAAACATCGTGGTAGAGCAGGTAAGTAAAGAAGTTCTTCATAGTGTCAGTGCACACTTTGATTTCGTCCTCGGTGTCAGGATTGTAGTAGCCCATGTAGAACCCAGTCCTATCGACTCAGTTAGCATCATCTGTGACCTTGAATAAGTGTCCAGATACACCAAAACTCACAAGTAGCCAGTGGCAACGCTGTTGAAGGAGATTGGGTATGGTTTTCCCTGTCTGGGGAAGATGGCCGTGTTGCTGCGAGCCTGCATTGCTTCCTCTTTGGTCATTTCCTTCAACTCCGAAGGAGTCACACCCTGGGAATGATTGGGGCCCACGCTGACACCGCCGTACTGCAGGTACTTGAGGAAGACCTTACGTCTGTAAGGCTCAAGGCGTCGCTTGTACAAGAAGCGCTTGATGGCCTCGTCAATTCGACTAGATAAGTCATGTTAGTTGATGTTGTTCAGTGTGTGTTGTATCATAATCTTTTGGGGATATTACTCAAGAATTGGCAAAGCACTGTGATTAAAAGTTAGATACTGCCTCAGTTAGGAAGGGGTATAAATGGACATACGGATCATAGATGGTCTTGTTCTCCTGGAACTCCTGTGGAGTCATTGGTGCGTCGGCATAGAAGGGTTCGAATCCCGAGGGTGCGTTCTATAAAAGACTGTCAGACAATGTCCGAACGGGAAAACATCAGTAACACAGTCATACTTCTCCTCTCTGACTCTTGGGGCGTCTCTTGTTCTTCTTCTTTTTCTTTGTACCAACGTCAAGTTCAACGTTTGCGAGAAACTTTTCCTCGGCAGGATCATGCTTGAATCCAACCTTGGGCTCGTTCTCCGAGACCGTACCGCCCTTCTCATGCGAAGGGCCTGCAATGCTTTCCGACTCTTTTGCAACGACGGCAAAATCAATTGCTTTCGGCAAAGCGCCTTCAGGGTCATCCTTAGCTAGGACCTGCTTGTTGGGCTCCTGGTCCGAACTGACCAAAGGGTCCTCGACCTTTAGAATACTGTCAGCATAATTTTCTATTTGATATACCAAATGGATTGGGATCTGGTTAGACAGAGTCAGGATACTCACATTATGCTCAGTCTGGGATGCAGCGTCCGACTCCTTGAGCTCAGGCTTCGCAAGAGTGACCGGATCAATAAAATGAACACGGGCATCCTCAATGCGAGGCAATTTAGCATCCGACTCCGGAGAAGAACCGACGATGCCTCCCTTGGTAGCTTCGCCATGCTCCTGGTCCAGGATGATGGGATCAATGTTAGCAGTGACACTGTCACCAGTCATGGCCTCAGTGGGCTTGATGGACTTCTCAGAGACACTGGGATCCAGTGATTGGGCAGCCGCAGACATGTTGTCTTTACGCTCAGGGTCAGGTTTATCATCCATGATGAATGATAGAACTAACGAAGTTGAAAAGCTGATGTTTCTGTGTCGCGAGAAGCGAGGATAAAGGTTGGAAGGGAGAAGAGAAGATTAAAACAGAGAGACGAGACTCAATAGCAGGCACCTGGCACCTGACACCGGGAGTCAATGAGATGCTTAGTCGTGATGCTTAGTCGTGATGCTTAGTCGTGATGCTTAGTCGTTCGTGATGCGTGAATGAGTTCGAGTTCAATCACTTGGAAGGTGGAACCCTGTCTCTTTTCACTTCTTCACTTCTAGAAGATGTTTTACATTATGATAGGTTATGAGTCATTATATTGTATACAGTATATATATGTACTGAGTTAGGGTATTGAATAACTGAAGTTGTATAGAGAGTATATACTTCGTAGTATAACTAGATCGTATAACTAGTTAAGTAACTAGTTAGGGCCGAGAATGACATTATCCCCCTTTATCCCGCATTTCGGCTGTGATCATGCCTATCAGTTCTACATCGATCTCAGTTCTCATTCAGATGGCACATATTTGAATAAATTCACCTCATCTGCATTCTGTTTGCCAAGTTCAAAGCTATCTTGTGGGTCTACACACCTCAGAAATACTCCAGTTGTGTGGATCCGCCCAGAATACACCTGGGCACAACTCCCTCAAAGTCATAAAGTGACAGTGTCAAAATGTCCTCGAAACTAGAAAGTCGAAAGACACCACAGCTAGGTAGCGAAGAGTTGATCCCCTTTGACCATGCTGCTGCCGGACAGTAAGTTTTTACACTCCGCTCTGTTCCTGGGCCGACGTCCCGCATGGATTAGCTCAACTGGGCGCGCGAAAGAAAACCAACCCTGGCAGGCTTGAGTATGATATTAGATCTACGAGGATGCTAACAAGATCTTTTTATCCAGCGATGGTGTTCGTTGCACGCCTTCTGGCGCCTTGATCGCGAAACCATGCACGCGGCAGGAGGTAGAATTCTACGAATCCAGCGCGCTCCACCCGGCATTCCAGCAGTTCATGCCCCTCTACGTCGGATCCCTCTCATCCTCCGAACAACAGCAACCGCTGGCGATTGCTGCCGCCCGAGAATCTGGCGTTCTTCCCCTCCCCGACTCCGGCGTCGTAACTACCGCTTCCTCACAACCGCCATCGCACACATCCATCGCCCCCGAAGACGGCGCTGTCCCGGCTAAGGAGGAAAAGGCCTGGGTGCCCTCCGGGGGCAAGGAAATTGATACCGCCTTGTCGATCGTCCTGGAGAACATTGCCTGTGGGTTCCGTCGGCCCAACGTGCTGGACGTTAAGCTCGGCGCGCGTTTATGGGCTGACGACGCGCCGCTCGAGAAGCGGAAGAAGCTTGATGCTGTCTCTAAGGAAACTACCAGCTCTAGCCTTGGATATCGCATCGCGGGCATGAAAGTCTGGACTGGCCACCATGGGGAGACTGATGAGGGCGATCGGACAAATCCATATGCTACAAAATACGAGGGCGCAGAGGGTGAAAAGGGCGAAGTCATCGAGAAGGATGGATATCGGCGGTATGACAAGTGGTACGGCCGCTCCTTCAATGCGGATAATGTCAAGCAAGGCTTTGAAACTTTTCTTGCCGGTGCAAAGGCGGGCAAGATAGACCGATCAAAATTGGTTTCCCAGCGCTTGGCGACAGAATTGAAAGACTTGCAGCGGGTTATCGAATCCGAAGAAAGCCGGATGTACTCTGCGAGTGTTCTGGTGGTCTACGAAGGAGATATAGAAGCGATGGAGCTTGCAATTGAAGAGGAACAGAAAGCCCCGGCACCCCGTTCCCGGGAAGAAGAAAATGATGACGAAGATGACGAGGAATTCGAACTTCCTGAAGAAGCCTTGGAGTTGGTCAATGTCCAGCTTGGTGATGGGATGCCTCAGCAGGCTATCAATATCAGCATTGATCCCGAAACCATGCAAATGCCCGAGGACGATGACGAGGAGGACGATATTCCTAAAGTCCACGCCCTCCGCTTGATTGATTTTGCACATGCCAGTTGGACCCCTGGCCAGGGACCTGACGAGAATCTTCTCAAGGGCGTGCGCAGCCTCGTCAAGGTCTTTGAGGAACTGGCAGAGTGAAATGGAGTGTAGAATCGCATGTGCCCACAGTTGCTGGCGGCCGTTGGGTACGCTACTACATTGCGGTTTTTGCTTTGTTTTGTTTATTTTCAATCAGCTACATATATAGATCATATCTTCATTATCACTTAGCCAATGTATTACGTTCATTTATTTACTATTCGAGCGCCTGGTTTAGGTGGCACCTGGGCGTATAAAATTGCTGACATAATCCCGCCGAGACTTCGACATCGATCTTCAATATCGCAGAATCGCAGCTGCGGAAACCCTCAAACCAAAATGTTTCCCACACGCGCCCTTTTTGGCCGGTCGGTCTGGAAAGGTGAGTCTTGTCAGATCTATAAGATCTATATTCTGGTATAAATTTCCGAGAAACCACACGCTAACACTTTCAACAGGCCCAAACATTGTCCCGTACGTAACATCCAATCCATGCCGAATAGAAACCAAACACGCCCTACCTTCGAACACAGAAGTTCTCACAATGGGATAGTATCCCATACCGAACCTAAAAACTGACTCAATGATCCAAAACAGCCTCCCGCTCCCACGCACCTTGCCCCCTCCACCCAACACTCCTCCCATCCGCACCACGAAACGCGCAGCAACCATCCTCCCGAACTTTGTCGGTCTACGCTTTGCTGTGCATAATGGCAAGACATACGTCGAGATCCAGGTGACCGAGGAGATGGTCGGACGGAAGCTTGGAGAATATGTTGCGTATGTATACATCTTTCTACACCTGTCCAGCATGCAACATGAGCATAATGAGCAGGTTTGGGGTAGTATGATTAATTACTAACATTCTATTTGCTGTATAGCACCCGCAAGCGCTTCACATACAAGCAGTCTAAGAACAAATAAACGATTCGCATGATTGCCTGGTGCAGACACCTCTTTGCGCTAGGAGAGCTGCATTGCATCTCTTTATTTTGCCATACCATGTACAGATATATCGTTGGATCCCTTGTGACATTAGCTGCTTTTGGGTCGGAGTTCAATATACATTTTTCTTTTTGCTAGATACAAACTGCCAATCGCAAAGTGCAATGCGACTTGTATACAGTATCCGAATGTAGAACATACATAGAATGGCAAATATGTCAATGCCCTGTAAACCACTAGTTCTAATATGCTGTGTTACAGATTCTGCAAATTTCCCTCCTACACATGTGAAATGTTTCATAACTATCATTCCATAACTACATATGTAGTTCCTGTAGCATTGCATACAAAGGGATAGTAACCAAAAAAAAAAAAAAAAAACACAGTTCAAAAAAAGAGAAAACGCCATCCATTGGATCCTCCCAGCCACCAGCCCAGACTAACAATGCAGTCATGATCCCAGGTCACTCAAGACCATTTGCACACCCAAACGCCATAAGCCCGAAAAATCGCAAAAGACAAATGATGGGGAAAAGGTACAAATAAAAACCCGACGCAAACGAGAAAACCCACCTGAAGACTAGTTTCCATCACCGCACTACCTGTAGAACTCGCCTCGTTTCACGCTAACTCCATATTCTGAAACTGCCATTCCAAGGTCTTCCATAGTCAATACCGTGCGTCCCTGGCCAGAACCACCAGAACCACCACCTCCAAACCCAGGCCGCTGGATACCAAGATGAGTGCCAGCTTTGTTACCCTTGCCACCATCACCACCAGGAGCTGGGACACCGCCGGCGCCAGCAGGAGCGCCGAGACCAGCCGCAGCTGCTAGACTGCCGATGGGGTTGTTTGCGGAGGAGCTGTTTGAGGCGCGGATGCGGGCAAACTGGTACGAGTCCGCTGCAATGTCTGAGACAAACTTTTGAGCGGCGAGTGCCAGGAGGCGCGCTAGGTGAGGTGGGGTTTGGCCGGGCCCTGTGCCTGGAGGTGGGAGACCGGCGAGGGTGAGGTAGTGGGCTGTGACTGCGTCGGGAATCTGGAGATCGAGGAGTCAGTTTTCTTTCTTGCTTTTCCCCTTGGTTGTCTTGTCTGATGGATCTTGTGTTTTGGGTCGTGGGGCTCTGCTTTCACATGTGCTTCGGCGAAATCTTGAGGTAGATTGATGGGTGGCGGGGAGACGCCTTGGTCCACCGTGTGACCAGGCAATGAGGAGAAGCTCAGAGAGATTATAGTCTTATTTCAGAGATGACTTACGATTGGTGCATAGTCGTCCATCTTGCCGAGGAACTCGCGCAAGCTTGTCTCCTTCTTGGAGGGTTCTGGCGCGGGGGCCATAGGATCTTGGCCAGGCGCGGCGTTCATGTTGTCTCCGGTCTGAGTTTCGGTGTTCATGTCGACGTCTTTTTCGATGGAAGCATCAAGATCAGGCTCAGTTTTGATGTTATCTTCAGATTCGGACGGAGGGAGATGCTCTTGTGATCCGTTCTGAGGTGTGGGTTGAGGAGGTTGCGATGTTTGAGAGTCGGCCATGTTGGGCAAATATCGGCAGAAACCCCTGCAAGTATCCTTTAATTGAGACTGGGCTGCAGACTTCCAAATATAAGGCCAATCAATGGCTACGACGGTTATACGTTCGTTTATAGGGAGACTCAAAAGTCACACGGATAGTGCACGGGCCATCTGGTCTCTAGTGGATCCCTCGGGCTTTTTCTCTACTTCGACTACACCATCTACCATCTACAACATATATATATAAAAAAAAAGAAGGGGCTCTTTTCTTCATAATCATTCATTTGGACTCTACAACTATGTACTCATACATTTGGAATGCATTAAAAGCAATCGCCCAATCCAAGGCGCAATGTCGCAATCCCAATAGTAAAACAAATGTGGTTCCCGAAGGAACAAATATCACAATCCAGCCCTAGACTCCGAAACGAAAGCGCAAATCCGAGGTTCTCATGACGAATCTTGCGGATGAAAAATAAAAAAGCTAAATCAACAAGAAGAATGCTTGGATATGACAATCCTCTACTGTCCCAACTGCATATGAGGATCGATGTGGTCGGGAGTTGGCTGAGCATGCTGCTGAGGGTATTGACTTCCATGTACCTCCTGGCTCAGAGTCTGCATGAGATTCTGTTCCGCGGTTTGATCAAACACGGATTGGCTGTTGGCATCTGGTGGAAGGCTAGGCGAGGCGGACATATCATGGCCCGACACGGGAGCTCCATGAGCTCCAGCAAGCGCCATCATGCCCTTGATTCCTTCCACGTGAGCCTTGTCTTCTTCGCCCTGCTTCTTCTGTCTCTCGCGGGCTTCCCGCTTGGCGGCCTGGGCGGGAGCGCGGGTTTTCAATTCACCAGTAACGAACTTCAGGTAGTATGGTACCTCAATTCCACTCTTCAAAAAGAAGAGCTTCAAGTTGCGAGCCTTGTCCTTCAGCTGTACCTGGTTGCGATCTTTGAGCGCTTCGCTGATCGTTCCACCAGGTCCAAACATGGCAAGAATCTGACTCCAGTGGGGACCCTTAACGCGGTCCAAGCCGGCCATCAAGGCATTCTCTTCTTCGGTGGTCCAGGGTCGACGTTGGCTGGGAAGACCTGATTTGCGGCTAGTCGGAGAAGACTTCGCGGATGCGGCCATTCGGGCACGTTCGTAGAGAACCTGAGTAGGCTGTGACTGAGAGTAATGGGGAATCCCCGGCATGTATCCATGGTTGGAGGACATGCCATTCGCCCGGGCTTGCATAGCCTGCGCTGCATTGGGGTTGTATTGCTGGAAAGTGGCCTGCAACGGGCTTTGCTGGAAAGTCAAGGGGGAGGCCTGCTGTGTTTGATAACCTCCAGGGGGAGTGGGACTATGATGATATTGTTGGTGAGCTGGCTGCGGTTGTTGTGCAGCAGTGTAGCCATGAAGATACTGGTTCTCGGTTTGGTTTTGCTGCTGCGGCTGCTGTTGCTGCGGCTGCTGTTGTTGTGGTGGCGGCTGTTGCTGCTGGGGTTGCTGGGGTTGCTGCGGTAGAGGCGACGGACTAGCCTGAGACTGGGTCTGTTGAGGCTGTTGTTGATGCTGCTGTTGCGACTGCTGCTGAGACCGTCGGAGGCCATGGCCCTGTAGGGCAATCTGCGCAGCTCGGGCAGCACGCGCAACAAGATCACCATGCATGTTTCGGTCCACGGGGACTTCAACTTGTTGATTGAGTGAGAATTGGCCCTGGTGGGTGGTGTTGGGTGACTCGTGAGCATCGCCATTTGAACTCGAGGGCTGACGGCCCTTGACAGTTTTCTTTCCCTGGTTTATATTAGAACAAGCACAACAATTGAGAAAACATAAAGGCAACAAACGAACCTGTTGGGTATTGATGGCGTCGAAGTTCTTCGAAATGTAGGAGCTAAGGTCACGGAGGAAATCTTCCCAATGATACTTATCCGGTAGGGCATTCAACGCTTCCTCGTTATTGATCTCATTGAGAAGGATGTCACGGCGAGAGGTGAGACGGTTCACAAAATCTGTCTCCGATGGTGCCAGCTGCCGGGTACCAGGCCGTCTCGCCAGCAAGCGCTGTTCCATGTCGTCCGGGAACAGATTGTAGAGGAGCTGCGTACGGGTGAGAGCCTTGTTATGCATGGCTGCGATGAAAGCCTGCGTCTTAAGTTCAAGGTACAAAGCGCCTTGAACCTTGAGTAGACGACCACCTTCAGGGACAAACACATCTAGGAAATGATCATTGAGGTCCGCAAATCCAATTTCCTGAGATCCGAAGATGCTTGAGACAAAGGACGCCAGGTTCGCTTTGCGAATGACATCAATTTGAGAAGGGTCTGTGATTTCAAGGTCCGTAGGCTGAAGGAATGAATGCTTAACGGTGTAGACTCGCTTTGTGTGATCAAACAAGGAGCGCATGGTGGCATATGCTTGGCCATTTTCGGAGTCAGGCTCGGATACCATAGCAGTGAGGTCTTGGTAGGTGTTCTTGGAAAGGAACGACAAGATTTGCGTTGACTAGAAAGTGATGGGCAAGTGTTAGGAGACAGATATCAAGTAGATAGTATGAATTGAACTCACCAGGTTGTCCAGAATAGGGAGACTCTGAATCTTGAGGTGAGAGTTGGCCTTGAGGAAAGCAAAACCTCTGGCTCCCGGGAAATCATTCGACGGTGGTAGCTCTTGGGGTCCCATTGCGACGGTTTGCTCCTGGCGCTCTGTGTGATCCATGATCTCAGAAATTATTGTGGCCACATCGGGATTAAGATCAGTGTTACCGTCCTGGGTGGTCGTGACCCCGGTAGAGGTGACATGGGTGTCGTGAGTGCCATGCTGAAGAGTTGGGTTTACATTATGATCGGTTTGCTCAACGGTGTCAATAACGCCTTCGCCGAGAGCCGATGCCAATTCTTCTTCGATTTTGTGACCAGGGCCATGCTGATCGGCCATCAAGACCACTTCGTCGGGCAGAGAAATATCACCGTCGGGGCCATCGTCAATACGGCGCTTTTTGGCAGCCGGAGGTGAGCCATGCTCCTCATCATCGAGGGAATGAGGCACTTTTTGGTCTATGATACGAATTTAAATGGTGAGTATTGATTCCAAGGTTACATTGAGCTTCATTGGCGGTGAGGGTAAAAGGTATGGGTGGGGGGTGGTCGATGGCTGGTGAACGGGACGATCGGATGGGCGCTTGAAGAGAACACTTACCAATGTCACCTCCATCAGAAGGGAAGGGAGGAAAGTCAGATGTTTCCTGGCCATCGAATGATGGCCGCGCGCCTCGAGACTCGACCATTTGGACGAAGCGCCTGCCTGGGGTCGGGGTATCAACTTCCGAGAGCAGAAATGAGGGCTTAGGGGTAGGGCGCGTTTGTAGGGCTTGCGGAAGAAGGATGGAGGAGCGAAAAGATGATTTTTCTGCCGGGCGGTGGAATTTTAAAGGTGATGGGTGGAAGCGTGCACATTAAAGAAAATGTACGTGGATGTAAGAGAAAGTGAGGAAGATGGAGAGAAGATGGAGAGAAGAGAAGAAGAAGAATTGGGGAAAAGTGCGTGCTTGGCTAAAAAAAAGTGCGTGCTTGGCTAAAAAAAAGTGCGTTTGCATTCGTCGTCAACACGCAAGTATCTTTGTCGTGCGTTCACCATACACAAAATACTTCCTTCCTTTTCGGGATATCTCGCACACCACCCACTTGAAGACCACCATAATTAACTCATGTAGAATAGCTTAGCTGCTTGTCATCTTGTTTTACAAATTATACGCCTGGCATGAAGCCGGTCTTATTGAATAATCCAGGTGAATCCGGGGAAATAATCTTATCAACTATCAGTCAAATCTACGATAGCCTGCATTTTCCGCTGTTCTGTCAAGAAGGCGAAGGCGGTGGTAGGGGGTTATATACGAATAGAAGCTTCAATCATGTAGGAACAAGCTTTTTTTTCTAATCCTAAAGATGCATTTTTTACTATGTAAATCAAAGTCCATAAAATCAGGCAGAATCAGGCAGGTGGGGGGGGGGCAAATATATCAACACCCATGTAGATATTATCACATTTTCATTATTTCTCAGTTCATAGAAGCCTACGGTACCTTACTTATGTATGTATGATGCTATACGTACCGTGGCTTTCCGATTTGATCTGCCGCCGCTTTTATGAGGTGGGTAGATGTCAGCACGGACTCCAGATAGCCTCTCCTACAATCATCCTATGCATCCCCAATTCGCATATCTTGATTCTAGTTTCACTATGCCTTCCACTTCAACCTATCTTGATATGTATTGCCACAGTCAAGATACCACAACCCATCCCTGGATCGAGGAAAGTCGAAAGTCACACTACCGAGGCTCCGGTCATGGATTGTCTCAGCCTTATATACGATACGGGTTGTCCTAATTTATCGACACGCAATTCCTCTCCCCAAAATACATCCCAACCAAAAGCTCCCGGTAGCAGCTATGCTGAGGGAAAAATAGCACATGGCCATAACCGAATACGCCAGCAGAAACAGAAGTAAGCAACCTAAGGCTTTCTCACCGAGTTTTGAAATTCTGTTAGCAGCTTTCGTTTACTTAAAAATTGCCCAGGGTCCTTTCATTTGTGATTGGAGGCACTGCAAACGCCGTGAACCCTCCTACGCTTTTTGGCTCGTAGTAGTGTACTCCATATAGGATGGTCGCAAGGCAAGATGTGAAGTCTTACCAAGCGAAAACGAATAATTGTAGGGAAGTTTCCGTGGGCAACATAAAAGTCCGTGCGGAAAATATCACAATGGTTTCTCTGCAGTCACTAACTCAGCACTGCCTCCAATCCAACAGCTGTTAACGTCATCGCCCCGTTTCCTAAACCTGACACTGATCTCAGATGGATGGCCCATGGCCGAACACTGCTTAATCTTGACATTCCGATCCGTGCTGTGCACTTGACCATTCATTAGAAGCCCAAAGGCCAAAGCAGATGCTGCGATTCCAGTCGCAGCATCCTCGCGGTATCCGGAGGCTTTGGGAAATTGCCTCGCTTCAAACTCCTGTAGTTTGAAATTGGAAACAGCATATGGATACACACCGGTGCTATCAATCTTCTCACAGAGCGTTTCTATCCGGGAGAACTGTGGCTCCAGAGTGTTCAGCAAAGAAACCGACTTGAGTGGGACCAGCGTCTTCACCCTGCTCGTGGCGGCATTCTGGATATATAGCCCAGGGTACAAATCATCTTTTGAAACCCCCAAAACAGACACAATCTCATTGGTGTAATCGTCTTCCATAGAGTCCATTACCGTGCATGCAGGCTGGGATATTTCAACCCATATCCCATCCTTTGTATCGTCTGTGTCGCCTGAATCATGCGAGACCTTTGCTTCGATAATACCGCTCCTGGTCAAGAGACGATCCTTGTCCCGTTCGAGCATTCCAAGCTTTGACATTAGCTACAGGGTTCCAATTGTTGCATGGCCGCACCTCCATTTCGTGGGCGGGGACCCAGAAACGAAATTCATAGTCGCAGACCGAATCTGCCGGTGCGGGAAGACGAACCCGCTCTCGTGCTTATGGCTTGTGGCAACTGCTTGCATTTCTGCGTTCGACATGCCGCCACCTGGACCTGCAGAGAAGACTCGCAGTAGATGGACATGAGCTACCATTGTAGATAGATGTGATGTAACTAGATGATGCAGAGTTCTAGTTAGATGAGTAATTGCTGGACGTGTGCATATCCCGGATGAATGCAATATGACCTGAATAGTAATCACCTGAATGATCAAAAATAGGAAAACGAGGATTAAAGACTATCAAACTCGTTTGTGAGTCAAGCTTCCTGACTCTCCCGTCTACCTCGGGTATGCACAAACAACTGCGGAGTGTGGGAGATCGACCGCGCAGTAACGTTGGATGTTGATCGACAAGTGGTGTATACAACTGTGGACGATTGGTGAATCGGTAAGGTCCCGTAGGTAACAAGGGATTATCACTAAATAGGTGTCTTATCACTAAATAGGTGTCTGAATTCAAGCCTATCTGTCCGTCTGTTATGCATACATCCAAAAATGCCGACAAAAGAGGGTCGCAGTTTTACTCGCGCGTCCGAGGAATATTCAGCACCCCCATATATGTTAGGACAGTCCCCTGAGGGGTTTCCTAGTACGGTATGGATACGAGTGAAGAATGTGAGATGTGCCTGATATGCGTATAATGATATTCAATCGCTGTTCCTCCCAATTTTACTCTGAGATCAAAAAGCGGCAGGAGATGAACACTAAAACGGAAAGGGAAGGACCTCATCCAAAAAGGAGGCTAGTGCCGTTTCAAGACTAGCGTATTAAGTACATAATTTGTTCACGGTGATGCCTATATGTATACTACTGATGAATCGATGAAATTTAGATATGTAGACGGCATTCTATCATTCTTTGTACTACTATTTTCACTTACTAGGCAGGGTGGTGTATATAAAAGTCCCGTCGACTCTTCCTCCCAGATAATTTGTGCGCGTCATCAATCATAATTTCACTTGGGTATAAATTGCATGCAACCTTGAGACTACGAATCCTATGAATCCAATCGAGCTGTGGTGGATACCTAGGTATCGATACAAGTAACCAACCCTAGAAGAGTCGGTCATGATACTTTCTGGGTCTATGTATGAATCGAATGAAGTTACCCTACTGAGTAATATATATCCTGGTTGGCTTGTGATTGAGTCTTACCAACATCTGCCTACTGGGTATTGTTAGCTCTCAAGGGGGGTTTTAAGTATCTTTTCAGGCTACTTCATACATTTTCTTTTATAAAAATTCGAAATCAATTTCCAAGTATATATAGTTAGGTTGTACTACCTACGGTAGTACTTCATCCATGGATGTCGTCAAGATTCAGCTGTTCTCCACTATCCGAAGAACCCGAAAGCTTAAAGTGCCACCAAATTTGATATTTACGAATAGAAAGCCGGTATGTCTACTTCCAGCAGTACCGGTCCCCGAAAGCGGATATCTTATCCTCTGGTTCCCTGGTATATCCTGCCAGCCCTAACATCACCATACCATTCGAGGTCTGGACTCTTTACTACAAAGACGTTGCCCCCCGTAGTTTTTTGTAGAGAAAGTATCAACTCAGTGAAGCCTTGCTATCCCTCAATGCTTGAAAGACCATCTTAATGTATAGCCTATTCATCGCTCTCCTGACCCTGCAGGGTTTGGCGGTTTCAGCCCAAGACTCCCAACCCACAGAGAAGGTTTGGGGGGTATTTGCATTTACTGTTCCTGGAGACAGCAAGCCTGGTGCGCTCGCCAGCTCTCGGACCTTGACCGACTATGGAGCCAACCAACTCGCCGCCGCAGCATCGGATTTCCGTTCTCGTTATGTATCTGGAGGCTCTGATACCGGAATCCAGAACATATCTCCAATAATTTTGGATTCAAACGATGTGGATGTACTCTCGATAACGGACCAGAACATCATTGGCTCCGCTCAAGCATTCATGCAAGGTCTATACCCACCACTCGGCTCAATGGACGTACCAGCTACCCAGGTTGCGAACGGATCGTTTGCACAGGCGCCATTGAACGGGTACCAATATCCTCGGATTGTCACTGTCGGCGAGGCAGACCCCCAGTCTATTTTGATAGAAGGTCACGCAATGTGTGCTATGTATGATGCCGCCGAGGGCAAATACCGTGGTAGCGACGAAGTACAAGATATTACGCGAGACACAAACGCCTTTTATAGGAAACTGTGGAAACTGGCATTGTCTGGAGTCTACGATGAATCATCCGCAACTTACACGAATGCCGTTTCAATTTCGGAATATTTGGATTATGAAGTTGTGCATAATGACACCTTGTTGGAGAGTCTAAATAACGCCGACATCCTTCGTGCCCGCTCGCTGGCGGACCGGTATGTGTGGAGCACAAACAGCCAACAATCATCTTCCAGCGGGTCTATGATCCGAGCAGCCAGTCCGATTGCAGGGCAGACATTGGCGTCGAGCATTCTAGAAGCCTTCGATCTGAACATCCAGGAAAGTGGTACCCGACAGAAGATGACCTTGTTGTTCGGTGGTAATGAGCCAGCTGTTGCCCTGTCGTCTCTGGTGGGACTCGCAAACCAGCATCAACCAAACTTCTTCTCCCGCCTGGCACGAGGTGGTTCGTTCGTTTTCGAGCTGTACAGCTTGGAGGACAGCAGCAACTTGTATCCATCCTATCCTGGGATCGACAATTTGTATGTGAGATTCTTTCTTCATAACGGAACCGACAACGCCACCGACTTTCAAGCGTACTCCCTCTTTGGACACAGTCCTAGTCGTGCCTCAATCTCATATACCGAGTTCCGCTCCTCGCTGGAGACATTTGCTGTGGCCTCAACTCAGGAATGGTGCCTCCTCTGTAACGCCGAAACTGTGTTCTGCAATGGAGTGTTAGACCAGGATGCATCTCAGCCAAAGAAAGACAAAGGGATGGCCCCCGCTGTAGCCGGAGTCATCGGTGCTGTCATAATGCTTGCTGTGCTTGGACTCACAGCAGTTATTGTATTCCTCATTTGTCGTGCTCGCAAGGGCAGAAATCCCAACAAAGGAAGTTTGGGAGGGTTCAAGGGTCCTGGTAAACTTGCCAGTGATACCGATGTGTCGTTCAGTGATCCCATATGGAGAAACTCCAAGACCGACGATACGCAGCCATCCAGTGGTATCACTGCGGGAGTTGGAGTTGCTTCACAGGGCAAGGAACGCACTGGAAGCTGGGAGATGGGGCAGGGGAAAAAAGAGATTGAGAATATCCAGCCTGATGGCATGAAAGTGAGGTCACCTTTTGATGAGCATGAGGAGGACTGGGGTATACACAGTCTTCAACCTGTGAAAATACGGGAGAGTGTATAGATCGTATCATGTCGTCGCAATCGTATTATGCTGTCACGATCGTATTATGTCGTCGCCGAGCATTGTGTTATGTCGTGCCCGTAATTTTGCACCAAAGCTTCTTCTCTTTATTCATCCAAACTTGTCTTCTAATTCCACCTTCTCGAGCATCCTTCCTGTTCAGGGCTATTATGGTCAACGTAGACGCGTGCTGGACTGCAACAAACGCGTCGAATATCGACCTCGTGACCCCAATCTCTGAATAGCCTCGAGCCCTCGTTCCTTCTCCACACTGTGCCTTCCAACTGATCATCCTATTTGTTATTCTCCATCGAATTTCTTTATTTCCTTTGATCTCAACAAGTAAAAGATTGCATCTCAATGAACAAAATGAGGTACAACATACCAACATTGTTGGCACTGTGCCAGGACACAGGTGTGCACTGCAAGTGGACCAGTGAAGCAAGACACTGTGAGTATTCCCTCGTGACGATATTCTTGATCAATGATCTTTCCCAAAGAGACAAATATTCAATTGGGTTGCTGGTGTGAACTGGGCTCCAGTGCATCAAGTCGAGCTATCATGGTTCTCAGGGCCATCGACACTGTATAACCCAATGAAAAGAACCTTGTTGACCATCGATATAGGCATACGGATGGATCCCGATCGAAGCAAGAAGCCTATCCTTGCAGAAAACCCGAGAAATCAACCGACTAGAGAGTCAGTCAGGTCATCGCGACCGAACAAAAATTCAGCATCTAAAGCCCCCAAGAATCGCCCGACTCGTACCGGCAAAAAGCCTGTTGAACCTGTGTTCTCCACGAATGACACAGGGTTTGCTCAATTTCTGAAAAAGCACACCTCCCCGAAACACCAGCGAGTCACGGCCGGGGGGAAAAATCGTTCCAATGGAGCCACCAAGGCCACCCCGTCGTGGTGGCTCGTCTGCACAAATGGCTGTAATGAATGACGACGAATCCATTGTTCCACATGTCTTCGTTGGTGATCAACTTGTGACTGGCAACAGAGGAACACAACAGAACTTCATCACTCGTTCTTCGACAGAGTCTGATAATAACTTGCGTGAGCAGTTGGCATGGCCTCTGGCAGCAAGCACACTCCAGTTCACAGCTCCCGCCGATCCACGGGACTCGACTGCTTCCCAAACAATGGGATCAGACGTTCCATATGATGAATGGATTGAGCACCAACCCCTAGACGAAGTCAATCCAGAGTTCATTCAGCACACCCCGAACGCAGTGCAGTGCAACGAGCTCACCCGTCAGGCTGAGGAGCGCCGGGGAGGATGGTTCTTGATTCAGACTCAGATTAACTATGAAGATGCTGCAATTTCGCAGATTGTGTCGTTCATGTCCCCGTTTGATATTCCCTCGGGCGACGACTTCTATGCTCGATATGTAAAACTGGCGTGGATGTGCGGCCCTGACGCCATGATGGAGGCAAAGACACGACTGAATAACAAACTCCGGAATCATGAAAGATATCTGGAGGAGGTTAACGAAGTGATCGCGATGGACCCACACATTTCACCTGGCGATTGGTGTTATGACTTGCGTGTTTACAACATCAATGAACGGGCAAGAGTACTCGATGCTCTTGACCAATACGATGAGCTCATGGACAGTCAAGGGACAGATGGCATGAACAATCCCAATTATCCAGGGGGTATTGCCTTCCACCCAGCCCATCAGAATCCCACCCACATGCACATGCAACCCGGAAGAGCTACCGATCGTGGTTCAGATGATAATAACCTGTGGAGTGATGGTACCAATGAGGTTGAGCGTGCTAGCACCAATCGTGGAATCGAGATTATTGACCCTGACACCGGTCTTCCCATCCAATTTCAGAGACAACCCTTAACAACAACAAGCAGTAACAACCGCAATGGTACAGGCCGCACGAAACGGAAGTACTCAAACTGTGATAATATGTCGGTTGATGGAAGCTCAGAGTTGTTGATTCGTGATGATGCAAATGGAAATCGCAACAGAAGCAGAAGAAACTCACTCTCCGATCACACTCAGGTTGATAGAAGATCAGAGTTGTTTCACGATGGGAATGGGACAATCGGCAATGTGCCTACGGGAGGCAATGACCCGCTCTTTGATGCCAATAGCCGATTGGATGGTCTCTTTTCTCTTGGGATGGGTGCTAATATGGAAAACAATGGAACCATACCATGGATCCCCAAGGAGAACTGGTCAGAACATCGTCCGAGAACCGGAAATCGTATCAGTAGAACCTTGCCTCGGAACTTCGGCCGAAATTTGAGATTGGCATTGCATTCCATTACTGAACTCGACCACGAGAACGCGATCGAACTAACTGACACGCCTGGAAACCACGGGAATACACCAAACCTCGCATTTAGTGGGTAGGTTCTTTGCCCCAGGCTAGCATTTGGAAAAAATACTAACTCATAGCGCCGCAGCACTGAGGATGAGGTGAACCACGGTGCAACCCATAATGGGCTTCGTTATCTTCAGAATGAACGCTGCGTCGCATCAGTTTTGAGCAGTTCAGACGACGAGCAGCAGATGATGAGGGATTCTAGCCCTGGACCTGGACCAAACGAAGAGATGCTCTCAGAGCGTTCCTTTGATCGGCAGCACAGAGGTACTGAGGTGGTGGATTACCACGCGCCTCTCATTCCGCCGGACTTTTTCGATGTGTTTGTCGTAGACGTGGAGGGTGATCGGGAAGTGAAAGGATCCGGTGAAAGGAGAGGATGTCCCTCAGCCGAACAATTAGAGGATGCCATGCACCACAGGTAAGTCCCATCCAAACTCACTTGCTTGTGCGAGGGCTCAGTTTTAACGTATGGTAGCCGCAGTGGGAGCTTCACCCTCACAATGAATAGCCTCGGAGCGGATTACCCAGACGAGATATCGGATACACCTTTGTTGTCGCGGGATAGCCCATACCAGCGGTATAGCCCATACGACCGGTATAGCCCATTGTCCCGGAATAGCCCGAGCAGGGCGATCTCAAGGTCGAGTGTCCGCCGTAGGCACTATGTACCTGTGGGTGGTCTCAGCAGCTATGGGTCTCGTATGATCACGTCAAGCCTGAATGCCCGCCGAAGACATGACGCACGTGAAAATATCCGAAACGCTCGTCGGTCGCTTATGAATTCATCGAGATTGATTGACGACTTGAGAGACGAAGTACCTGCAACGACTGTCCTGGGGTTCGATGTGCTAGACAGTCAACAAAACACCAATTACTTGCCTATGCATTCGACGCAGTTGATTGATGCCAGTGTACGACATACTGCGCCCGCTATTGTGAACACTAGCAGAATCAATGCGTATGCGTATGCTTACCTTTGATACCATACAACCATGATGTTGGGCATTGGGGATTTGAGCATTTGAGCCCCAGCCTATGTATGTGTCCCCGGAGTTCCCGAAATGTTTCATATTTGAAATCAGAGCAGAAAGGAGAAAAAAAGAGAGAAAGGCATCAAAAAAAAAAACAAAAAAAAGGTATGGAAAACATGGACTCAGTTCGAGTCAAGGGAGGAAACGATATTGAAGGGATTGAAACCAGAATCTGTACTATGTTATTATGTATTGATATTCTTCCAATGGAATGAAGTGTATGATTATCACGTGCTGTATATTGTAGATGCCCTCCGTACAACTGTTAAGTAGTTATGTTGTAGTTATTTATATTCAGAATGTCGCCACCGAGTTCCTTAATTCCTTAATTCCGTATTTCCTTAAGTTATGCCTAAAATTCTTGGGAGTAATGTAGAGTCATACTGAGATGACTTATTTTCTAACCACTTCTATCACCTTTTCCACTCCCCTCTTGTTCTACTCTACTCAACACCTCTTGACGTAGATGGCCTGCAGGTGCCCAGGTAAGATTGCCCTGCCCAGATTTAGATGACTAAGCCTTGGTCTCCGCGTCCACGGGTCCTTCTCCACTCCAATTCCTCCTTGCCTCCCTCTTTTTCCCACTGGTTTCTCAATTCTTGATCTTCCATTCTTTACTTATTCTGACATGTCGTGTTATCCATGAGCCTAGTTTCCGTGGCTTTTGTCGTTTCAGTTCTTTGGGTGGACAACCCCCGTTGTACCGCCTCTTACTAACAATTGCCCCCGCGATTATATCCCCAGCCGGTACTTGGCATTTTTGAAGATTACCGCTCCTTTACCCGTCTCATACCTTGCTTTTGCACCCTTCAAATCATCTTTTAGGTCCTAGGTGACTGTCATCTCGGTCTCGATTTTGATTTCGGCGACCCACCCAATATGACGCAGCTCTTCGCCTCTAGTCCGTCTGCGGTGACAAATAATGAGAAGCGCGGGAATTTCCCCGCTCTCTCCCTTCCCTCGCGAAAACACTCCAACGAGTCTAGCCACTTGCCTACGAGGATCAAGAACTTTTTCCGTATCAACAGTTCAAGCAGCCACTCTCCCCAACCCAATACCTCAGGGAGTACCGAACGCGAACGGGATAGCCATGGAGCGGCCAAGAACGAGAAGTCTGCTTTCCGGCAGTCTCGGTTCCTGCCAGGAATAGGCCGCAATCGATCGACAACCGTTGCTAGTGAAGGCAACCCACTCGACGATGCGATGTCCCCTACCGCATCCGCCAACCCATACTTTGCCCACCAGGGCCAGCCAGCATTGCGACACCGCAATGATGGGTCAGTGCCATCCTCTCCTCCCGACACCCCTGAACTGCAAGTCACAGGGGTCTCCGCGGTAGAACAGGCGACCACTGCGAACAAAGAGGAATTAGCGCGCAAGTTACGACGTGTGGCTTCTGCTCCGAATGCCCAAGGCCTATTTGCAAGTGGTCAGGGTAGCCGTCCTCAGACAGCGGAACTGGGCAAGGAGCCCCTGGTGGAACAGTCGGGCGGGTCTATGGGCCTCGCAGATCTAAGTAACGACGAGTCGAATCTGGCGATACCCTCTTCATTCAGCTCAGATCTCGGCAGTAACGCTTCTTTCCGCCGCACCTACAGTTCGAACTCTATCAAAGTTCGAAATGTGGAGGTTGGCCCCGCCAGCTTCGATAAGATCAAGCTGATCGGCAAGGGTGATGTTGGCAAAGTTTACCTGGTGCGCGAGAAGAAATCGAGCCGTCTGTATGCCATGAAAGGTACGTTTTATACACCGGTGACTGTCCGATGCCATATACTGACTTCGCGGCTAGTTTTGAGCAAGAAGGAGATGATCAAACGGAACAAGATTAAACGAGCTTTGGCCGAACAAGAGATTCTGGCTACGAGCAATCACCCATTCATTGTCACCCTATATCACTCCTTCCAATCAGAGGATTATCTGTATCTCTGCATGGAGTACTGCAGTGGTGGCGAGTTCTTCAGGAGTGTGTTTACCTTTCCGTCCTATCTTTGACATCCTCTTCTGGTATGTATTGCTGACTTGTGCATCTCTAGCCCTGCAAACCCGGCCCGGCAAGAGTATCTCCGAGGATGCAGCTCGCTTTTACGCCGCAGAGGTTATTGCTGCGCTGGAATATCTCCATCTCATGGGTTTCATCTACCGTGACTTGAAACCAGAAAATATTCTTCTTCATCAATCTGGTCATATCATGCTTTCTGATTTCGATTTATCGAAGCAATCCGGACCCGGGGGTGCCCCGACGATGATTCCCGCACGTAGTGGCGGCAACTCTACTACAGGTTTGCCTACGATTGATACCAAGTCATGTATTGCCGATTTCCGAACAAATTCTTTTGTGGGCACTGAAGAGTATATTGCACCTGAGGTGATCAAGGGTTGCGGTCATACCAGCGCTGTTGATTGGTGGACTCTGGGTATTTTGATTTACGAGATGCTGTACGGCACTACTCCATTCAAAGGCAAGAACCGAAACGCGACATTTGCCAGCATTCTGCGGGACGAGGTGAACTTCCCGGAGCACTCGGGTGTGCAGCAGACATCAAACTTGTGCAAGTCCCTGATCCGCAAACTGCTGATCAAGGATGAAACTAAGCGCCTAGGAGCCCGCGCTGGTGCCTCCGATGTCAAGACTCACGCCTTCTTCCGACAGACCCAATGGGCACTCATTCGTCACATGAAGCCACCTATGATTCCCCACCAGGGTCGTGTCGGCACGGATACGGTGAACTTCCGCAACGTCAAGGAGAGCGCTAGCGTAGATATTGGCGGCACTGATTCTACTAAGATGAAGGGTGTTCCAATGGATTCGGGCCTCGCGACTCCGAACGGCGAACTCAACGATCCCTTCGAGGAGTTCAACAGTGTCACCCTCCACCACGAGGGGGATATGTAAACGTGGGTTCTTTTTTTTCGTCACTTGTTTCTTTTATCCGATACACGAGGAAAACAGCCGTATGTGCGTCGGCTCGCTGACGACCATGATGCATTACGACTGTATATAGATGCTATTATTTTTCCATTGCAATCCTCGCTGGGTGTATGGAGTGTTTCGGGACTTTTTTTTATGGTGGATCTATTCGAGTTTTGTTTTGTCTTTTTTTTTCTTTTCTCGTTATGCCCTATTGCTCGTTGATTGCTTTGCATATTGCATTTTTTTTCATATCCTAAAGCCTTGGATCACTCTCAGTTGCGCCTCCAATCCAGGCACAACATAGCATCGACACCGAACTGTTGGAATTGCCACATGGTTTGTGTCGCGACTTCTGAGCTGTTGGTTCTTCTTTCTTTGCGCGTCTTCTTGAAAACTGTGCTATACATTTGCTCTTCCACCTTACTTTGCAGCGGACGGCGTTATGGATTCACTTTTTCGGGTTACGTCTTCCACGTGACACCTGTATGGACCAACTGATTACTTGCTTTTTCAATCTCAAATTTACGTTTTCAAGATTACCCTTGCTGTGAAGCCATGTGTGTGAAACTCGATTCAATTTCAGCATTTGGCTTTTGTCTCAATCTATTTGATGGTCTCTACATGTTGCCTAGTTGTCACTTCTTAAGAAATCCGCCTACAAAGTATCATGTCGCACCCTGTAAACAGCCATGATTTGTGAAAATAAGAGTGATACAAAGCAGAAACAGTTAACTAATAAAGGCATATCTAAAGACTAAAGCTATACCTAAATTATTGGTAGTTAGATAGAATGCAAGTCTTCATATAAATAGAGCACAGTAGATTCAGATTCAGTTCAGAGCAATAAGCAATAACATTGGAAGGAGAAAAAATATCTCTATAAAATATAGACGTTTCGCTTGAACGACAGAAAATAATATCACAATTCGAAGCGATCCCAATTTGCAAAATAATACAAACTACATAATGGGTATCTCAAAAGCCAAAGAGCGAACGTCTTCAATGCATATGAGGATCCGCCGCACAAGCCTTCCGACACTCCTCCAAGAGTTTCGCCTGTCTAGCAACGTGCGCAAGTCGACCAATAACCTCCTTGTTACCATCGTAGAAGGTAAAAACCGCATACGGAATGTTCACATCCTCACAGAATTCCCGAACAAACTGCTGCGTCTTGCGCAGATTGTGCCGCGGGATACGAGGATACAAGTGGTGAATAGCCTGGAACTGAAGACCGCCATGGAAAAAGTCCAACCAAGGCGGGCAGTCGACATCCATAGTAGTGCGAAGCATCTTCTGAGGGAAAGATTCCAGGGGCCCGAGATCAGCAGTGGACATAGCGTAGTGAGACAGCGTAATCTGCACATGCAGCGGCGAAGTCACCATATGCGAGATCAGAACGAAAACGACACGGCTAAACCAAGTCGGGATGCTACACCAGACAACGCCGTATCCAAACCAAATCCAGAAGAAGATATGGCCGGTAAACTCGAACCAGCGGTGCCACCAGCCCGCGCCGTGTTTCGGTCCGCGTCCGACGATGATATGCTCCCAGCTAAGGAAGTAGAGGTTGAAGCGGCCGAAGAGGAGAATAGGGTAGTAGAGATAGTGTTGGTATTTGACTGTGATCTTAGCCACGGCGTCGAATTCCATGATGCGGTCGTAGTAGGTGCTGCGGAGGGAGCTGAAGAAGCGGTGCGAGAGCGCGAAGAAGGGCATCAGTTCTATGTCCGGGTCGTGCTCGGGGGCGTTGGTTACGATATGGTGGACGTTGTGGCTGCGCTTCCACCAGCCTAGACTCAGGCCGCCTAGGTAATCGGCGATAATCATGCCGATGGTGGTGTCGATTTGATAGTTGTGTGTGATACCCATGTGGCCGGCATCATGGGCGGAGAAGACGAGTTGGTGCCAGAAACAGCCGAGGAAGAAGGCAGATGTGCAGAACCAGGACTGTCTGAGGAAGAAAACGAACAGTCCAAAGAAGAGGGTGTAGCGAGAGATCTCGATGGCGTAGGCTTTGTAGTTGCAGTTGTATAGTCCT